TGTAATTGCTTTTGAATCTCGCCAGCTGAAAGCTGCAGAAAAGAATTATCCAGTTCATGACAAAGAGCTACTTGCGATGAAGTATGCCCTGGTCAAATTCAGAGTTCATCTGCTGGGCTCAAAGCCTTTTGTGATCTATACCGATCATGCGTCGTTACGTACTGCGACTCAGTCGCCGCATCTCTCGCAGAGAATGGCCAGATGGCTGTCATTCTTTGCCGAATATAATTTCGAGGTGAAATATAAGCCGGACAAGCAAAATGCTTTGGCTGATGCTTTGTCACGCAGACCTGACTATGAGCTTGCTCATGTGACGACGTGTCGTCTTCTATCACCGATCTCATTCGTACGGCTTATGCTAAAGATGATCACTGTATAGCGTTGCTACATGCTCTTGGCAGTGATGAGTTTAAAGACTCGGACATTAAATTGTCGGCACGATTGCGTGCGAGCCTCCATCGATATTCTATCGATGAGGGGCTGTTGTACTATCGTACAGATGTGGCGGATCCTCCGCGTATTGTGGTTCCTCATGACGAGGACCTGAAGTATCGTATCCTCTATGAGGTACATGACACCGCCATCGGTGGTCATTTGGGTCGTGAAAAGATCTATGGGCAGTATGCCAAGGTTATTGGTGGCCCAAATTATATAAATGGGTGAGCACATATGTGCGTACGTGTGAAACGTGTCAACGGGTGAAACCCTCGCCCCATTCGGCAGCGCCGCTGGCTAGTTTGCCTATTCCCACTGGGTGCTGGGAGTCCATTAGTATGGATTTTGTGTTTAACCTATCGAAAGATTCGCATGGAAATACAGGCATTGTGGTCTTTGTTGACCGTTTGAGCAAGATGGCTCACTTAGCGGCTGTTCCCGATTCGATCGATGGTGAAGGTACAGCGGAGCTTTTTATCGACCGAGTTTTTCGCCAACATGGCTTGCCAGTGGCAATTGTTTCTGATCGCGATCCTCGTTTTACGAGTAAATTTTGGAGCTGGGCACCCGTTTGGACATGTCCACAGAGGATCATTTGCAGACCGATGGTCAAACCGAACGCGTGAATCGCGTTGTTGAAGATATCCTCCGCAGCGTTTGTGCTGAAACGCCTCAGCGATGGAGCTCTATGCTCCCTGTAGTTGAGTTTGCTCTCAATAATTCCGTGCACGCCTCTACTGGCTACACTCCGTTCTATGTGAATGGTCTCACACACCCACGCGTTCCGTTAACGCTACCACCGAGTGGTTCAGGGCTTGGTGGGGGAGAGTTTGCCGATCGGCTTGCTGATGTCATCCCTAATACTGTTAAGAAACAGGTAAATGCGTTTCTCGCAACGCGACTAAATGTCTTACGACATGTGCAAGATGCAATGGCTGATAGTCAAGATAAACAAAAGGAATATGCAGATGCGAAAGGCAGAGGCTGTATTAATGATTATGAGGTCGGAGACCAAGTATTATTAAATGCTAAAAATCTACCTACCAATGTAGTATCCGCTGTCTTAAAGACGAAGTTGCGCCCGCGCTTTATCGGACCCTTTAGTGTCATTGCCAAGAAGCACAGCGTATACGCTTAACTTGCCGAGCAAATTGCGTACACATCCTGTGTTCTATGTTGGCATGCCAAAAGGTATCGGGATCCGTCCCAAGTAAACATTAAGGCGCTCGCGCCGAGCCCACTGGCACTGTCGCGGGACGAAGCATCTGCGCCAACAGGTCAAGCTGACCCTGCATCCGGGTCCGACTCTCTTCCAGGGACGCAAGCCGGGAGTTCATCGTCTGCCTATCCTCACGAAGGGACCGCACCTCTTGAACAAGCTCGGCATGAGCTTGTGCCGATACACCGGCCTCCTCAGGCTTTGCTCGATGCGCAGGGGGACCTACAGTTCCATGTGGAGCGTCTACTGCAGAAGCGTCGCCGCCATGGTCAAAACCAGTATTTGGTAAAGTGGCGGGGTTATCCCGAGTCGTGGAATTCATGGGATTTTGAGACTCCCCTTCGGCAGGACTGCCTATACGCCGTGGACGTTTTTGAGCGTCGTGCGCAGGGTCCGCCTGTTGGCGCTGACGCTTCTCACCAGTAATGGTGAGGGTAGGCGGGTTAGCGACCTCGGCCTGTCGTGGACTCGCGACTACAGGGGTAGCCGAAACATTGGGCTGCTGGGTAGCAGACGCATAATGCGTTCGTTGGGATTTCAATTTTTCCCGGGCCTTCAATTTAGCGTAATCGTAACGCATCTTCCGCTCGTGTCGAACATCTGCCACATCGGCACTTGCCCGTAAGGCCCACATGCTGCTTAAACGTCGCGCATAATGCGCCCAGCGGCTGAAAGCCGTGTCTTCTTCGTCCTCGGTTTTCCCTGCGAACAGAAGGATGGGAACACCCTTTATGGGAGGAACTGGCGCACCGCGCACTTGCCTGTTAAGGCGTGCCAAGTATTAGCTTTGTGTAGTGATGTGGGGTTCCAGATATCGTTGTCGAAGTGACGTGCGCGTGGCAACATCCTCAGGTGAAATGGCCTCAGGCCCAATGGTCCAACCAGAAAGGGAATGCCCAGATGCTTCCTTTAGGCGTTCTTCCACCGTAGGTGGTTTGAACCTGTACTGTCGGTGGTCCTGCAGCCTCGTCATATTCTTCGTCCGGCGCTTGGCGCCTTCCTCTTGGTCGATGGTCCGCTGTTGCTGCTCGTCGAGTGGGTTGGTAACCGTCACCGTTGATGATACGTCAGGCGGTCACGTAACGCTGTTAGCGCATTTGCAGCACCACGTTCAAGGAACGGATTCGGTGCATGACTAGTGTCATCTTCACCCGTGAGGGTGGCTAAAGGGTACCCATCGGGTCCCACAAAGACGGTGTCACTTTCGTAACAACCGCTTCGTCAAGGTTGTCTTCAATGAGGTCCCGAAGAGTCTGTGACTCACTGCCGGGAGGCGTCATGTTATGTGCCGTGAACAAACCGTGAGGTTTTAAGCGTTCGCTAAAGCACTACCTCTACGAGAGAAAAAAATGTCGAGTGACATTCTATGGGAACGTCAGTCTGGTGGGGGAGGGTGTAACGGGGTTACACGACGGTTGTAGCGTCTTTCCGAGAGTTTACGGTTAAACTCCCCTTTGTATTGCATATAATGCATTATTATACTTCTCTTTAGAGAGGTATTAAGTATGAGCGTTAAGATACGGTATTCGGTAATACCGTATCTTATCGATTGGGATTCGATAAATCACTAACGCTGTATTAAGTACATCATACACAGATGTTTAGACGATTCGTCGTCCAATAGCAAGGTCTGCATATAATAATTACTATTATAGTAATTAATCTAGTGTAGTGTACTTAGAGTAGGACTATTCATAAAATCTTAAAGCCTAAATAAAATCAGTTCTCCTTTTGAGTTTAAGATCGCAAGTCGTTCTGACTTGCTCTCTTGTGCACTTCGTGCGTTGGTTCTCTGAACCCCTAAGCTTCTAGCTTGTTCTTGCACTCTGTGCGTTGGTTCTCTGAACCTTAAGCTTATTGCTTGCTGACTTAAAGTCAACCTACTTCCTTAGAAGAGGGTGACTTTAAGTCGTTTAATTAGTTCCTTAGAACTAAGTGGCTTTTAGCCTTAACTCTATTTAGTTCTCTAGAACTAAGAGGCTTCCAGCCGAAAGTCTTTCTCTGGCTAAAGAGCTGTGCAGCTCCGCTACAACCTCCCTTGCGACCGCTACCACGTGACAATCTATCTGGGGTTTTCTACCTGCTTTTCTTCGACGGGGGGGGGGGGTCGAGAGGAAATCCTGGACCGGGCGGAGCAGGATCTAACTTCACACTTAGACGCACGCAGCATGCATGCGTCCTGTGGGTATCGAGCATGGCCTACGGTTCTGCAAATACTACTAATAATGTCGCTGTACTAGGGGCTCGTGCACGAGCTTCGACAAGCGAAGGCTAGCGGCTACACCTCTGCATGTCGTGGGGGACAGTGCGCTCGTGCTTTCGCAACTACGAACGCATCATCCTCCATGCAAGCCACACCTGACGCTGCTATTCGGAGAGGTAAGACCAATTGCTGACGATACCGGTGTCTCCAGCTGGGGACACCACTATTGCTCATACAACAAAATGGCGGATCGATTCGCGAATATCGCTATGGACACCGGAGCCTCTATTCAAGTGCACACTTCCGCGGAGGAAGGTGTTGTCACAACGGCGCTCGGCTGTCCGAGGGACTAGTTATACCTAGTACTTAAAGTAGAAGTCGCCACGGTGACTATGTTACCTGTCGAGAGGTATAATGGGTCGTACGTGTACTTACATATACTTCACCTTCTCAAACAAAGTCAACTTGCCTGTCGTTATATCAAGGCGACGACGTATCCAAGGAAGAACAGCTGCAAGTACTCGATCAAATACCCTCGTCCAATTTTTGTTGAGCATGTTATAGCCCATGACCTCAAAGAATCTCAAGTACTCTTTACTTTTTTGAGCGACAGATGAACGGCGGCCTACAACTTGTGTATCTGTAGCACTTGTGCCTCGAGTTCGTGCCTCTAATTCTTTCGGCTACGAAAAGAGAAAGCGATGACAAGCTTTATTGCACCATTGTACAGACGCGTGACGATGGATGTACAGCGAGCGACCTTAGGGATCACGTGAACGCAGCGATGGGAGTGATCAATTACACGGACAGGGCATAATACTATTATTATCAAGAATTTTTTTGATCAGCTTCTAACCTCTCTACTATAGCATTTATATGAATAGAATAGTGTAGAGTAGGTTCTCATTCTAGACGCTAGGACAATTTTTCGGGACTTAATGTGGGCGCCAGTAAATGTGACCATGGCGTTCGTGAAGTAACATTCAAAATGTATCCTTCTTTTGTGTAGACCACGTCACATCTGGCTGCACCCTTCTCTTCTCAAACTACATAACCTGTATAATATCATTTCATCTTATTTATTATATAACTAACTCCTACAACATCTACCTTTCGTACCACATTCACTTGGTCCACCCACACATGTCGGCATTGCGTCACCGTCATCAGGCTGCCGTTCCCCGTCCTTCTACCACTTTAATCCATCACCATGAAACGCCAAAACGTCATCATCGCTTCCACCCGTCACTTCCTCATGGATGGCTCGTTATTTTCGGGTTTTTAGCCTTTTATGCGTCAACTTTTGCTATTGTGACCTATTGGCACACGTGGCTGCCTGAGGCCAAGGGATTAGACGCACCATTAGATGAATTCTCAGAGGATAGAGCTCGTATTATATTAGAACAGATTATGAGCTTTGGATATCGTCCAGTTGGTACGAAAGCCAATGAGGAAGTAACACCAACTTATCTATTGGAACAGGTAGGTTTGATTGACAATGTTCGAAATGTTAGAGCTATTGGGTATTTTATAAATTTATAGAGGTGAATATATATAAATATGGTGATATTGTGTACGATAGTGATATTGTGTCCTATGGTGGTATTGCAATATATAGATTGCAGAAATCCAGACACTCAAGCCGGAAAATGTGCAAGTCGAAGTCGATGTGCAAAAACCATCGGGTGCCTTTGGACTGAATTTTATTGCACAGTTTCAGAATATTTACGCCAATGTGACGAATATTTTGGTCAAGGTGTCGCCACCCGATGCAACATTTGATGCACTTAATAACTCCTTGATGATTTCATCTCACTATGATGCTGCTATTGGTGGAGCAGCAGCTTCGGATGATGGTGTGAACATTGCAATTATGATGGAATTGCTACGGATTGTTGTATTGAATCCACCGAAACATGCAACATTGGTGTTCAATTTTAACGGAGCAGAGGAAACCATAATGCAAGCGGCACATGGCTTTATTACACAACATCCATGGACAAATACAATTCGAGCTTTTATTAACTTAGAAGCTGCTGGTGCTGGTGGTCGGGAATTGCTCTTTCAAACAGGTAGTGACGAGCTAGCATTGGCTTACGCACAGGGAGCGAAATACCCACATGCAAGTATTATCGCACAAGAGCTTTTTCAATCGGGCATTATTCCTGCTGATACGGACTATAGAGTCTATCGTGATTTCGGTTACGTTGCTGGCATGGACTTTGCGTATATCGCAAATGGCTATGTTTACCACACGATGTTAGACGATATATCACGTATTCAACCCGGCGCGGTTCAGCGTCTTGGAGAGAATCTTGTCGGTGTCGTGTACCAATTGGGAAATGAGCCTGGACGCCTGAAAAAGGTTGGAGACAATCCCCAAAGCTCCAACACTTTATTTTCGGATATCATGGGACTTACGATGATGACTGCGAGCAAGGAAATGACGTTTACTTTGTGTGGAGGCGTGCTTCTGCTGGCCGTGGTCTACCTCATGATATCCCACGTCTCGCTTTCTGAACGCTTGACCGCGTTCGTGCTGATTACACGATGCTTTGGTGCTGCAATTGCCTCATCGTTGACAGTTGCTGTGTTGCTAAGTCTATATGCGCCACTGCCGTGGTACTCTCAGCCATATCTAGCTGGAGCGCTCTTCATTTCTCCAGCACTCGCAGGAATGCTTCATCAGCTTACATCTGCATTGGAGAAAAAGACGAACAAGATGACGCCTCAAGCTCTGTGGCACCTTGAGGAGAGTATCTTCGAGGTTATCATGTGCATTTGGATGGGAGGATTGACAATCTGCTTGCAATTTGGGCTAATCTCGAGCTACATTTTGGCAGCATGGATATTCTTTCCGCTAGTGGGGCAGGTATTATGCCAGCTCTTGCAGCGCTCCCGCTTGCTCTCGTCGGGCATGTACATTTGTATCTCGCTGAGCGCCATGGTCATTCCTGTGATCCACACGATGTGCTGCTTTGCGATCGCCCTGATGTTCTTCATCCCGTTGCTGGGTCGAAGCGGTCCAGTCGTACCTCCTGACGTGGTGCTATCGCTTTTGATGTGCATCATTCTCTTGGTAAGTTTCTTGCGATCCTTCACTAACAGTATTTTCGAGTACCCACCATTGTTGCTGGCCGTTGATACATAGATAATGGTTTCCTATTCGGCTCGAGTGTTTTGCTTCCTTCCAGCCAAGCAGCTCAAGTTGATTCGGAACATATGCATTGTCATTACCGTGGTATCTACAGCTTACGCTTCAATTCGGTAAGTATGCGTTAACGTGATACATTGAGGCAAGTGTCTAAGACTTGGGTGACTTTGTTTGATTGCAGTAACCCATACTCGGATATCTGTCCGAAGCGTCTTATGCTCCAGCACGTTCAGCGCGAAGTTCGGCTTCCGAACGGGAATGTTCACACTGACTCGGGTCTGTGGATCAATTCGCTGGACTTCCGTGGACCTGATCCTATTAAAAGCAACTTGGCAAGTACGCAGTGGAAGGATGCACGCATGCATCGAGCTCCGGAAGAACTACACGAGAACGCCGAAGTGTATGGGCACATGCCGTGGTCACTTCCGGTGAAGCACATACTTCCGGAACACAAGTCGTGGTATCTTTTGACTGCTGCACCCGCCATCCCTAGCGATGTCCTTGCCAGGTAAGAGCTATTTGATTCGTGACCGGAAATGTCGACACTTATTTTGTGTATGATGTAATGCGAAACAGACTTGAAGTCCTCTCATCAAAGTACTCGGAGGAGACAAATCGCCGCACAATCCACTTCATGATAACCGGACCATCACACATGAACCTCTTTATCGATGCCAAGAAAACAAAATTGACTTCGTGGTGCGTATCAGCAGTTTCCTACCAAGAAAGTCATCAAGTTTGAACTGTTCATCTCACGACCTCGTTGACTACTGTGATCTTTACTTGTGCAGGTCTCTGGGAAACGGTGACAGCGGGCCAGTTGTTGAAGCTGAAGATGCATACATTCTCCAGTTCTGCAGCGGCACCGTTCCATCAACCTATCACTTTTGGATCGAGGCCAAGTCCAACAAGCCTATTGATGTTGCTTTTGTTGGGCACTACCTTGCGCTCACGACTCCAGAAATGAAGGAATTCTCGGACGCGCTACCATCCTGGGTTGTTGCTACCTCTACGGTGTCGACCTGGACAAAGATACAGATCTAACGGGATTTCGTGGGTCTATGCATGCTGAGTGAGAAACCCAAATGCAAACTAGCATTGCTGGTAAATGTTACGCTTGGTGATTCGATCCTGCCGTTAACGTGTGTGATCCACGGGCGGTAATAGACATTGTGGCCTCCATGACCTCACTACGATTGTCGTTGTAGTCAACTGCCATGCACCACTGGTCAACAGCTTACAAGTCATGACATGTAGCTGTACGACAAATGGCAGAGGAAATGGCTAGAAGCAGCTTTGGAATGAAGCTCCATCTCAAAGCTATCCGATGAGTCTCAATGAACCTGTACATAAGCGCATCATAGGTGTCCTCCATATCATCTTTGTAGGTTTTCTGGCATTTGCAACACTGGTTCAACAGCAGATACATGCAGGCAGACTCATCTTCGTTAGCGACCATTCATCTACGCTTTGCAACGATTGTGTGTGGCGATATACGGGCGATGCTTCATCTAATAAGACTACATCATCCGACAACATCCTGTCGTAGCGAGTGGAATTCAAGAAAGCATAGGACGATCATAGGGTGGTTTCTAGCACCATGTAACAATGCAGTAGTACGTAGGTAGGTAGAGCCATTGCTGCTGCTGCTGCTCTATTCATAGTATCAGATCCCTTTTTCTTCCGTGCCAGAGAGATGTGCGCAGCCGCCACGTTCATGTATGCGCTATACCGGGCGACAAGGGATGACGATCATAAAAGACCCCAAGTCTTTCGTAACATGGCTTCAGAGGATCATGTCGGCGGTCATTTTCCATTTTCCTTGATGCGGATCATGCATTTGAATGAACACAAGACAGTGGTTTCAAATGAGGCGCTAACGAGGCATAAAGATACTCGATTGCATGGATGGCAGGGGGTTATCGAGACGTCCACGTACTCTCCACAACTATTGACCTCACCATTAAAGGACGTAAACTTCACTAACAAGAAGAACTCGAGCTCTAAGCAAGTCTTTATTTGCACGGAAGTCCACTGTGGTAAACAATTTCCACGGTCTTTTGCGTTACGGCGTCATATGCGCATCCACACGGGCTTGAAACCCTACGAGTGTAACTACGACGGCTGTGTACAACGTTTCAATACGTCGGGCAATTTGAGTCGTCATAAACGTATTCACAGTGGAGAGCGGCCATATCCGTGCATCTTTGACAGTTGTGGCAAACGCTTTAATACCAGCACCAAGCTCAAGCGACACATGCGTATTCATTTTCCCGATGGACACCATGTCTTTTGCTGTATCGGGCAAGTCGACTGCAACTGGAGCTGTAACAACTACAAAGAGTTTGCCCAGCATCAGAAATTGCACCACAATATCTTTGTGGGTGCACAGCAGCAGCACTTGTATGCTCGACAAGAGCAGCATGCATATGCACAAGAAGGTACAACTAGTGAAAGCTTAGACAACAAGGAGAGTGCGTACTTGTCCACGGTGGACGCTGCTCGCGAGGGGTACTCGACGGATCATCATCACCCATACAGCAACACCCATCACAGTGCTGCTCTCACCGGGAGCTTCCTGTATCCTACTAGCTTTGACAAGTACAAGAGCAGCAGCGTGTTGTCAACACAACACAACAAACTGATGAGACCGTCAGCTTTGTTGAGCTCTAGTGACTTTGGCAATCTCCCGACAGTTTTTTCCAAGGATTACGGACGACCCGATCAACGTCGACTAATGCCGAACATCAATACGTTCCCATTCATGCAGTATTCAAGCACCAATGGCTCATTTCTGATTAATTCCGATACTACTTGGAACCGACCGAGCTTCTCGAGTGTCAATCACGTTGCACTACTACAAGAACGTCAAGAAGAACGTGATGGTCACAATTACGAGCAGCCACAGAATCAAGAGCATTCGATTTTATTGCCTCCTAATCATCACGTGCTTCGACCACCGCCACAATTAAATCAAGATACAAAGGAGAATGGATGTACGACCCCATCGGCTATGAATGGGACAGGACCGGAATTCACAGGTGAAGAGCTCAGTGTAGTCCTACAGCTTATGAACGAGACGTACTGAATTAGTACAAGCAGGCGCTGAAGTAACTGTAGGTAGTGCTACTAGCTTAGCTACTACAGTGTTATATTACAAATTGAAAAAATAGCAATTTATTGTCAAGAAGTACCGGTATCATCGGTATATTCACTGCGACGTCACTGCGTACTATTTTACTTATTCCTAAGACAATTACTATTTTAGAATAAAACGTAGTATTTTTTTACACTTTCGTGATTTTTATCACTGTAAAATGCATGGGGCTCTATATACTTACAACTCCCATACAGTTCCATCATTTTCGTCGCTAGGTCTTAAACCTTCTTCCAACCCACACCTAAAATTTTCCTTGGGCCGGTTCGTGCTAATGAGATTATGCTTGTCAATACTGTATATCGACTGTACCGAGCGCATGACACCACCATCTTTGACATCTCGCTTAAGGATGTAACTGCTGCTAGTGACGTCGGCACGCTGCAATCCGTCTTTGTAGCACAACGAATGATCCAGCAAGGATCCGTCTCTCGGCTTCCTCCTGTCATATCTCGAGCGCTGAGAAGGTCGCGTATCCGAACGTTTATCAACGTGATGCCGAGACTTGGAGGTCGACGTGACGGAAGTTGTGGCTTTGCGAGACGGCAGAGCTTTACTGCGTTTGCAATGGTTGTCGTTTAACATATGACTGGAAGGCTGTAAGCTCTTGGGCAGCTGCATAAGCGACTGATGCGTCACCGTCGATGTGCGGTGCATCTTGCGTAAAGCATTCCAGAGTGGTCGTGTTTGAGAAGCGTCTGCTATCATTTCACTACTACCCAAACAACAAACAGAGACGTATAAAAGTTTGATGAGTCTCATATTGGCAAGCAAAAGAATTGAATCAAAACGTACGAGTCGCGAGTGTCGAGAGGATCCGTATCGGATTCTCGAAAGCACATACAACGAGACATGAGCTTGCGGCAATTCTGACACTTGCCGTCCCAATGAAGAAGTGAGCTAGAGAGGTTAGCGTCATGAGTTGGAGGAGACTTGGAGGGCTGTCCCATTATAGAAATGATAAATGTACTTGTGGTCTGGCGAGGATATTCACGACTAAGTGTTAACGCGACATGGCCACTGACCACATCGCGACGTCAACAGAGACCTAGTATATCGCATAACCTGTCTTATTACGTCCACTTTCGACGGGTTTTTCGATAGAAAACTGACTATGGTAGAGAATATCACCAACGTAACGAATGTCGTGTTGACGATCGCTGCGTGCACGATTCATCGATGGGCTTTGACTCGGCAGTTGCATTGAATTGTCACAGTAGGAGGAAGGTAAAGCAAAGGTGGCTTTAGCTGCCTAATTCCCTCGTTTCTAATGTACCATTAGCTCACTTTACTCGGTAAAGATCCAAGTGTCGTCTGACGGTAGTACCAAGTCCAAGTGTCGTCTGACGGTAGTACCAAGTCCAAGTGTCCTCTGATTGTAGTACCAAGTCAATGTGGTCATTAAGTACAATTCACAAAACAAAACTGTCATTTTGACTAAATAGCCCGATATCTTCATGTTTACCGACAAACATCTAAAATGCTCTTCAACTGTTTGTTTTTTTCAATTCCAAGAGCAGTATCAATTGTTTTTATCCAATAAAAACTCATAAAACAACCAGCCACGAAGCGGTCACTAATGAGTGGTTCCTTTGGCTTTAATGCGTACAGTGACTTCTTGCAGACACAACCAGGGGATCCGTCACAGTCTCAGACGTTTCCCCTCACCCAACAATCTCCATCCCAGTCGCAATATACGTTTGTGGATCCATTAGACGGCAGTAGCGTCGATGCGTTTTATGACCAATACCAGACAAGTACGTCTTCTTTTTTAGACCAATCAGCACGTTCGACGGACGACCCCCACCCTTTGTCAACTTACTCGAAGGCGTGTAAAAACGATCCACGAGCCTTTCAAAGCCTTACTTTTGAAGAAACAGCTGATGATGACGTACTTGAGTATACGGCAAGAGAATTACCAGCCCATGCGTGTGCTTATTGTGGACTACATGATCCAGCATCGGTTGTCAAATGTGTTACTTCAGACAAATGGTTTTGTAATTCTCGTGGCAATACAAGTGGGTCACATATTATACAACATTTGGTCCGTAGTAAAAACAAAGAAGTTTCGTTACATCCGGACTCGCCATTGGGTGAAACAATCTTGGAATGTTACAATTGTGGCTGTCGCAATGCTTTTTTATTGGGGTTCATCCCTGCAAAACAAGATTCCGTGGTTGTTTTACTCTGTCGGGATCCATGTCTACAAATGAATGCATTGAAAGATATGAGCTGGGACATGTCGCAATGGTTACCAATTATTGATGATCGTAGTTTTTTACCTTGGCTCGTGAAAGTACCTTCGGAACATGAACAATTACGTGCACGACAAATTACGTCGAGTCAAATTGCTAAATTGGAAGAATTATGGCGAGAAAATCCACTGGCAACCGTAGAAGATTTGGATCGACCAGGAATTGATGATGAACCAGTCAAGGTCGTACCTACATATGATGATGGATATCAGTATCAGAACATTTTTGGACCGTTGGTGAAAATGGAGTCAGATTATGATAAAAAGATGAAGGAATCGCAAACGCAAGAAGGAGTGATGGTGCGTTGGGACACTGGGTTAAACAAGAAACGCAATGCAATTTTTACGTGTTCAAGACCCGATTCGGATTTGAGACTAGTCCCGGGTGACGAGATTCGGCTTCGTTTAGGACCGACTGCATGTATGCTGTATGGAAAAGACTGGGAAGGTACTGGCCATGTGCTTCGATTAGAAGACTCGGAAGTCGCACTCGAGATGCGTAGCAACAACGTACCGCTGGAAATTGCGGACGGGTACCTGGTGGACTTTGTCTGGAAGTCGACATCATTTGACCGTATGCAGGCAGCTATGAAGACTTTTGCGGTAGACGACACGTCACTGACAGGGTACTTGTATCACAAGATCTTAGGTCACGCTGTTGACGTGCAGCCTTTGCGTATTCCACGCTCGGTAGGCACGCACTTTTCGGCCCCTGGACTTCCCGAATTAAATCCACCGCAAATGGAAGCAGTGAAGGGTGTATTGGAGCAGCCTCTTAGCTTGATTCAAGGCCCTCCAGGCACAGGCAAGACGGTAACGTCGGCTTCCATCGTCTTTCACATGTCAAAGCAGAACATGGGCCAAGTGCTGGTGACAGCGCCAAGCAATATCGCTGTGGATCACCTGACGATGAAGATTAGTGCGACGGGACTTCGCGTAGTTCGTCTTGCGGCAAAAAGTCGTGAGGCCGTAGCCTCTTCGGTTGAGCATTTGTCCCTGCATGCAATGATCAAGTCACTCGACTCGCCGGACAAGGCTGATTTGCGCAAACTCATGCAACTGAAGGACGACCAGGGTGAGTTGTCGTCGCAGGATGAAAAGCGTTTCAAGTCCTTGAAACGCCAGGCAGAGCGCGAGATCTTGCAAGCCGCGGATGTTATTTGTACGACGTGTGTTGGTGCAGGTGATCCGCGTCTGTCTAACTTTCGTTTCCGCCAAGTACTCATTGACGAAGCTACCCAGGCAACGGAACCTGAGTGTCTGATCCCGATTGTTCAGGGTGCTAAGCATGTGGTGATGGTAGGCGACCACCGTCAGTTAGGACCTGTCGTCATGAACAAAAAGGCAGCAAACGCTGGGTTGAACCAGTCGCTTTTTGACCGTCTCCTGGTGCTCAACCACCGTCCATTCCGCTTGCGTGTGCAGTATCGCATGCACCCGTTTCTGTCAGAGTTTCCCTCAAACCGATTTTATGAAGGTGAGCTGCAGAACGGTGTGTCTGCAAGTGAACGTCAGCTTTCTAGCGTCGACTTTCCATGGCCGAATCCGAACAAGCCGACGTTTTTCTACATTTGCTTGGGCGCAGAAGAAATCAGTTCGTCTGGTACGAGTTACTTGAATCGCACGGAGGCGAGTAACGTGGAAAAGATTGTTACGACGTTCCTGAAGGCCGGGGTGCTGCCCTCGCAGATCGGTGTTGTTACACCTTACGAGGGCCAGCGTGCTTATGTGGTTAGTTACATGCAGCGCAATGGACCTATGCGCTCTCAACTCTACAGGGACGTGGAAGTGGCGAGCGTGGATTCTTTCCAAGGTCGGGAGAAGGATTTGATCATTTTGTCATGCGTGCGTTCAAACGAGAATCAGGGTATTGGTTTTTTAAGCGACAAGCGCCGTTTGAATGTGGCTCTAACGCGTGCCAAGTACGGTGTCATTGTGCTGGGCAACCCACGTGTCCTGGCGAAGCAATCCCTTTGGAATATGTTGCTAAATCACTACCGTGACAATCATCTCATTGTGGAAGGACCACTGAACAATTTAACGCCGTCGCACATGCAGTTCCCTCCACCGCGACACCAGGGACGTGGCGCTCCTCGTAATGGCATCGGATCTCATCGTCAACGTGATTTAGTGCCTCCTCTCGACTCGCGCTTCGACCCGCGCTATGACCAGTTGGGAATGTCTTCTTTTGACTCGCTTGGGGCTGGTGGGGCGCCGCCGCCTACACCACAGCAGCGTGGAGGCCTACGTCGTGGGCCGCACGCTTATGCTCCTGGAGGTATGGGTCCATTATCTCAGGACGGCATGGCCCAATCGTCTGTGGCTGGGATGGATGGTCCATTCACGCAGGTGGCACAGACACAGTCGTTTAGCCAAATGTCGAGTGACAAGTTTGGAGTGTCACAGGATAGCTTTGAGTACGAGCACGACTATAAGTCGCAGAACATCCCGATGTCGCAAGACACCCGCCATTCCGGCAGTGGCTTCTACTAAGGTGTCGGTATTACGCAAAGGAACGAGTCAAAGCGAATTTGGTGTCGCTTGAAGTGACATTCATTTCACGAAGACAGCCGGATTGATTCCAAAGAGGGAGCCTTGTTGCTTTGGAGTGTTGATCAGGTGGGAACCGTGATTACGAGCAGTGATGTGCTCAGTTTCTATTGCCCAGTGGTGTTCGACTACGAGTGTCCAAGAGACTTGAGTTGAAGAAGCTCTTGTTCGACAACGTAAAAACGAAAGCTCTTGGGATATCGTGGATCTACACGCTGGAAGAGGCTCACATATCAAACCCATTCGAGAATTTAATGGACCAAAAGACGCGCGAGACGCAGAACGGGAATGAGATTTTGGAGCCTGATGGTAGCAAGACCAACTCCAACATCGTAGCAATCGCTAGCTTTCAATACGAGGTTGATTTTGGTGGCTGTCATGTTTCGTTCTCTCGATTATTTTGTCATGGATTGTGTTCACGTCGTGTCTTGCCAGCTCACAAAAGTCGGAGCTGTTCAGAGCAAGAAGCTTTGCTAGAAAACGAGAATGACATAGGTATGATCTCATGTCGATGTTGGTCTTGACACATCTAAAACTGACGTTGTGCACTGTCGTTTCCTAACATTGATACTGCTTTGAATTTGAATGACAGCAAGCCCAATACGTTCAATTTCAGATGCATCAAGCAAGTCATGAACAGTGTTTGATGTACATAAAGTTCAAACCTTTCAAGGTTTTGCCAACTCTACGGAGCAAGTGCATCTCCATCTGAACATAAAGACTTTATTTGTGGAGGCGTCACAATTCCATAGCCACTTAGTTGATCAGCGAGTTAAGACATTAAAACGTCTCTTCCCCCTTATCCAACGCTTTCTTGCCATTCTCATCTTTTCATTAAAATCGTTGTTGTTGTCGCCAATTTTGACCTTTTCCTGGAAGTATCTAGACATGTAGATGAAAATGCGACCGGGGAGTTCGACATAGCTACTTTGAACTTGCAAAAGTATCATCATTTACTCTGTCCCCATGTATGTCAAACAAATTGTTGAAAGCAAATGAAAAAAGTAACTGACACGAGGAGATGAACACTGTGTTAACGTTGCAATGGTCTCCATTTTGTTGCAGTCGCGTAGCTGCAACAAAGCGGAACCGATTGAAACGTACCATATGAGCAATCGCACTACAATTTGGACGACTCACGTAGCCGACTTTTGTTGCTGTCGCTTTGCTCTACTTCTTGACTCTGTCTGAACAGTTGTGGCTCCTATCCAGCCGCTGAATATGCCCAAGTACGGACGACACGATCGAACTTGTCATTAGCATCGCAGTGCATCAAGTAAAAGTTACACGGCCGAAAGCACACGATAATCGAGAGACGATGACATGACACTGATGAAGACAATCTAGGAGCCCCATGACAATGGTAGAGTTTGACGTCAAAGAAGACGAGAAAATCATGGCATTGAGCAAGACGTTCAGAGAGAGAGAGAGAGACGCCTGGATGTTCAGAAATCATTTGCATGTCGACGTCTGTATTCGAACGGGTACCATGAGGAAAGCTTGAAGCTTTTTTGCTGCAAACAGTTCATTTTCATGTGCAATCGACATGACATTGTCGTTGTCGCGCCTTGAGTAGCAAACATTCATAACTCGGGTCAGCAATACGCATACGATTGACGTTCATGTGGTTTAATATGTACCACGATTGACGCATGGTATCGTAGCACCAAAGCATCAAAACTGTCGCTTCTGAGACGGTAAAGCTGCAATTGGTTTCAAGTCTAAACCAACATTCGGGGTGCGTACTGCTTTGCCGATCGTACAGTCCAAGCTTTTGACGCCTGAACTGCCTCCATGACAAGCACGAAGAGATTAGAAATGTCCTAGTTGTTTCTTGAATCTGATAGACGAGGATCGAGGTACGACAATGACGAACGGTGCAAGAGCATGGAAATTTGTAATACCGTGCGCATCGTGAGCTTGTCGTCTGGCAGAACATACAGTGCTCGAAGCACTGATGCTTCTAGGAAGCAATGGAATGTTATGGGCAGCGTTTCCACGAGGAAAGAAGAGGGGGGGGGGGAGAGTTCGATTAGAAGAATAGCTACAACATGCACAACAGTTACGGTATCATTGCCTACTGTAGCTTTAAGTTTCTCTGGACGGCTTGACCACAGTCCGTCCGTTACGTAAGATCTGCTACGTGAGAGAAGGTCGATACTTGTCGTGACCGACCGGTTTCGAAGCAGCTTTTTTTTTAAATTGACATGCTCCGAAACGGTCTCACAAGCTTTTAATCTCTTAGAACTGGCTATCGTGCTTATCATCATCATCTATGCGTTTGCTTCGACTGAGTCTCGTGTGTCGGAAGAGAAAAAGACTGCAGACGAGGGTAGTGCATCAGTTTGAATGCTAAGTTTCAAGTTGCTATGTGTACTGACTGACAAATGGTTATAGCAGCATCATGCAATAGTTCAAGGTATCAATGTAGCTCCTGGCTGTGCGCGACTTTATATAACGCCTCAACGTGAAGAAAAGATGCAGTAAGCCCCGCTGCTGTTTATCAAGAGGACCACGTATACTTCGATCGATGGCCGTCAGGCTACGCCAAAAACTGGCTTACATGGGCACTTAGTAACGAAGACCGTTCTCTGCGACAGGGAAAGATGGTATTAGGTATTGCATACTGAGCTATGAAGTACAAGTTTTGTTGTTGTTGTACTAGGCAAACGGTCAGCAGCAGACAAGACGATGGAAAATGATATTCCATGACAGTAGCAAACGCCAAATAGCTGCCGTTGACTGGTATTTGCGTCCAACAAAGACACATCATACGCACAATACCAGTCATATGGCCCCCATACAAATATACTTTTGACTTGGTCACAATCACAAAACGACTAAGGGCGCTAAAAATGTCCGTTAATGAGCACTGCCTTCAACGTGGTCTGCATTTTCTTATTCGCGCTGGATTGGCGCGCGATTGGTCGAAAAGCAGCTGGTCACACTTCAATTTGGACATGTAAACGGTCATTGATAGAGACGTAAGAAATGGCCCGACGAGATATTGATACAATAGTGTACAGCTAATGATATACTTCTTATGATCTATCACCGGCTACGAATGTTGCAAGTGAAAGGACTTTTTTATTCCAAACTACGACATCTTAACAATGAAAGAGAAAAAGAATGTAGAAATGAATGACAATGTATCTTCCACCAATTCGAACGTGTTCGTTCAAATCATGTTACTTGAGAGTAGCATACCACACTTTGTTCTTGTTCGCTTCAACATCCAGTTCCTGCTCTGCTTGACAAGTCAATGCAATATTGGCACGCGTAACACAGTTTTTTCCTTCTGGTTTTACCTCTGCAAGCGATGGCATATCGTTGCAGACAGGCATTTTTTCGCAGAAACATTCACAATATGCGCTCTACTAAAGCAACATGGAAGCTTTTTTTCCGTCGCGTCGTGACGGCGGACGACGTTATTTGTTGCTCTCCTTTCCATTTTGAAATCGGTTTTGACGAGGATAAAGTGTAAAGAACCTACTGTGACGCTTGAGCCAATAACAGCTGGTACACACCACGAAATGGAATAAGTAATAGTAGAAGAAACAAAATATATGACCGGAGTGGCGCCAGTGGCTATTTCTGGGTTTGCAGACCGACGTGACGGCTGGCGTCACTCATTTGTTCCGCATATCGGCTGAGACGTCCATTTACCCTTTGCCTTTTTTCAGCGTTGGTGGCCGTCTTTTTTTGTATCGGCACCAGCTTCAACCCGACAAACATTCTGATTCGCTATTTTGGTCACCGAGTCACAAAAAGCCCGTAACAGACGGAGATTTTGGACCAAAAAAAGAGTCGGACAGATCAGGTGTCGCTATAAAAACGCTAACGTTCGATTGGAAGCGTCATAGTGTGCGCCAGTCAAACCGTCCTGGTTTTGTTACTACCGGCACAAAAAGTCGATTTATAGTCCGGATGACGTGCCACGGCCTGCGACAGAAGTGACGGTCACGTGCTGCCCGCTGGCCACGTCGGCGAGCGCTTATTCGTGGATTCCTACGCACGCCTTCAGCCGGATTCATCTGTCAAAGGGGTTTCTGGGTTCTTACTCGACCACTACTGCCTCTTGTCCTGTACGCAACGCAAAACTTCATTTTCCATTTAGCCAGTCAGTTGAGACCAAAAGCCTCAATAGCCCACCATTCCATAGCATCGAAACTTTCTTGTCCTTCTTGACATTTGCTCTTTCTCTTCGCTCGAATTTGAAACGTGCGGAAGAGAGAGAGAGAGAGAGAGAGAGAGAGAGAGAGAGAGAGAGAGAGAGAGAGTAACTGCCTGTTACGTGGGCCACGATCATCGTTCAGCGTAACACAGAGGAGGAGCTTGGAAAGCGCTGGGGTGCGTGCCTTGCTCGGCTTGGGCTGCTGTTGGTACATTGCCTCCTGCGGCCATTTGAGGCTTCATCCCCGTCATCTTGTGCTTTCGTATCTGTGGAGACACGGTCTATGCGGAGATTCGAGCTAACACAGCTTTGTACATTGTCTCCTCCTACGAAAGCATTGGTCGTGGCTGTTTATCAGCGTTTAAGTATGGACATTCCCATGAATAATTCCACAGACCTCAGGAGCCCTCTAAACAGCAGCAGTGAACCGTCTCCATTGGCATTTGATATTAAACTCAAGTGTCGTATAGAGACGAAAGGGACACAGTCTCACCCGTCGTCACCATCTCCAATAGTGGGATCAAAAGAAGAGTCTGTTCCTGAACAGGAGGAGGAAGAACAACAACAAAAGGAACACGAAAGTCAAGGAAATCAGGAACATGATGAGCTGGAAGAACTGGAACAGATGTTGTTGGGAAAATCCACGGGCTCGGTCGCTATTCTGACACGTCAGCACGAAGCATTGGACCATCGACGACATACATTTAGTACCATGTCGGCCGACAGTCGTGCCAATATGAGACGACGGAGTTATGACCTTACAACAATGCACTCTGGCAGTACATTTCCGCCGCCACTGCAGCCGTTTTCCCACTCCTTCAAGACACACCATCATTTGCAACATTTGCGAGTGTATGGCAAGATCTCCGACTTAGTGAAACCTATTGGTGCATGCCATGAAGAAGGTGCGTCAATGGTGGCTTTTATCTCGCCTAGTATGGACACTGTCTGGACACGAGGTAAATCTGTGGATATCGTGTGGAAAGTACTCGACACGAAGGTATCGAAGCTACGTATTGAACTATTGGAAGATGGATTGAGTGCGACGACACTTATTGCTGCAGAGGCTCCAAATACGGGCTTTTTTACATATCCTAAAGTACCGTGGGGCATGGAATCGGGTTCTAAATATTTTTTGCGAGTCTCAGCAGCCGATGATTCGGAACGATATTGCACAAGCTGTTTCTTTCCAATTAGCTCAGCTCCATAACAGATGAGTCGATACCCTTCCTCTTTCCTGAGAAAATGGTAGGAAATTAAAAGAGTAGTATGTGAAGTCTTTATTTAATGTAATTGCCGACGTATGAAACATTTTGTATGTGTTTCATTTGGTTCTCAAGAGGTGGCATTGGAATCTCATTCGGAGCGGAGTGACGATCTGAGATATGGTGAGATAGGATTGTTCTGTACTGTACTGTACTACCTACCACCATGTTCCACCATGTCCCCTGTCTTGTGCCAATGGACCGGTTCTATCCCAACAGTGGAAAGAATCAGACATAATATTGATTACCCAATCATATCCAATCGTAAGAACATTTAGAGTAATCTTCCACTAATACACGAAAGATACACGTAACATTTGTATCTTTAAATACTGGATTTATATTGTTTGATCTCGCGAGATAAAATATTGCAATACATTATCTATCCTGAATTTTGCAACATACCAGCAAATTCACCATTAGGTTTGCGTCGCAACTCGGATGGAGGCCCAAATTCGACAATTTGACCTTGTTTGAGTACGAGAATCTTGTCGTAATCGACAATCGTATTCACACGATGGGCAATGGTTAGCACCGTCGCATTGGCAAATTCCTTACGGATTGATGTCTGGATAAACTCATCTACATACAACAAAAAGAAAGAAAGAAAGAAAAATTAGAGACGTGAAAATTCCAATTTCATATGAAAACGTTTTCTTACCTGTAGCATGATCCACCGAAGCTGTAGCCTCATCCAGACACAGAATTCTTGAGTTACGTAGAATAGCACGTGCTAAACAGATGAGTTGTCGCTCCCCCACGCTGAAATTGTCACCTCCTTCAAGAATTTCAGCATCTAAACCACCAGCTAAACCCTTGATCAAACTTTCCAAACGAGATTTTCGAATCGCAGTCCACAATTCGGTATCAGTGGCCAGTCCTGTGGGATCTAGATTGAAGCGTACACTTGCTGCAAAAAGAACAGGGTCTTGTGGAATGATAGCAATACGTGAACGTAACTCAGTCAAAGTCAGCGCAGTCGTAGACACTTCATCAATGTAGATGTTGCCACCCTCCTCTGCGCTGTCAAATGATACCATCCGGAAAAGCGCGAGAAGGAGTGAGCTCTTGCCAGCCCCTGTACGTCCACAGATTCCAACTTTCTCACCGCCTTTTACAGTAAACGTGATACCATCAAGTACCGGCGGTCCAGTTGGATTGTACTTGACACAGATATTAACGAAATCAATTCTTCCGTGCTCAGGCCAATGAGGTCGCAGTTGCAGCGTACGTGACTGGGGCAAAGTATAGCGCTCATGGTGATGCTCAAACAGCGTCACCGGTTCTGTATCCACGTGACAATACTCATCTATACGCTCCACGCTATTCATCATGTTCTCCATGTCGATGTTGCATCGAATGGTCCAATTAAGCAGCGAAGTCATATTTTGCGAGTAGCTTAGTAGCAAGCCCGCCATAGCACTGGAAAGTACCGCGTGGTCATGACTGACGAAGAACGCGACTGCAGAAGTGACCACTGCGCCTAAAAACTCTAATCGAACACCCAGCCAGCGGTTAATTAGATTTAGCAGCAGGAAGGCCTTGGTGTTCTCATTGATTTTTGATGCTTGCGTACGCTGACTCTGCTCAATCATTTCAAAAGTCCGCACAGTTGCCAATCCATTGAGCGTCTGCGTGAAATGTGCGTACACAGGGCTTTTAGAAATGTTATCCAAGCGTTGCAACTCCCGACAAGACTTTCCATAGAATCGCTGGTACGATACATAGCAGACAAATACTGGAACCAAAAGGAACAGCAACATAGGAGCCGTAGAGCTCTGAATCGCCAATATGCTCAACAGTGCGAGCAGCATCGTAAAAAATTGTACAATGGTAGTGTTCAAGTTTTGGTCTATGGTATGGAAACAAGCATAAGCACATAAATGATTAGTCTCCTCAATACACCAACTTGCACAAAACCTTCTGCCATCGTACCAATAGTGTTCATGTCATTCGAAAACCGATTGAGAATGCGACCGACAGGCGTTGTATCAAAGAAACGCATCGTTCCTTTAATCACGTGGTGCAACAACGCATGATGCATTCGTTTCGATGCACTTGACACAACCGTAATGTTAGTATGAAACTATGCCACATATCAAGAACAATTTTGCTTTACCTGAGTCCAGCGAACTGGGAGCAAAGGCCTCCTACAAACCCAAGGACGATTGTACTTAGACCAAGGTAGGCATAGATCGTGAGGTAAAATGTCAAGTCAGCCCCACTTGGGTGGTTTCTCGTCCAGTTTGTCAGCCATAAATCCGTCGATACGGACGATACTTGCGTTGCAATTAGGAGTGCAGCCGCCCCGACCGTCGATATTGCGCCACAGGAAACGAAATAAGATGAGTATACGCTCCACGATAAATTTCCCTCGGACTTTGTCTCATCTTGAATCAGCACCTCGCTGCAACCAGTAGCAGTTTCATCCTCGGCATTCGAGCGTTGTGACCGTGATTTGCATGTAATGGTGCCCACGGCTTCGGCTTGATCGCCAGAATGACGCTCGATGGTTGACGATTCATCAGCACGATCAAAAGCCTTTAGCATCGTTGCTAGTTTTCCATTTGGTGTCATTTCCGTCAGGTCCTGGAACGTTCCCATCTCAGCGACGCGCATATGATCCATCACTATGATCCAGTCGGCAAGATGAGCAAATTGCAGCGAGTGGGTGCTCAAAACCCGCGTGCAACCAGCCAAAAGCCCGTCTGTCGATTCGTTAAAACATTGATTAAAGATGCGAGTGGCAACATGAGCGTCCAACGCCGATAGTGAGTCGTCAAACACGTAGAGCTCTTGCTCTTTTGAATACACGGCCCGTGCGATCGAAAGGCGTTGTTTCTGCCCACCACTCAGCGTGACACCGGACTCACCAATCTCGCTCTGAAATCCATTCGGAAGATGCACGAGTTCTTGTTCCAATTCACAGCTCTTGACAACCCGATGTAGACGAGCCGTATTCAATGGAGCACCAAACAGGATGTTGTCTTGAACACTAGCATTAATTAGGTACGGCGTTTGTGCAGCATATGATATGCCTCTTAAAGGAATACGAACCACGCCGTATTCAGGTTGCAGCTCTCCCAACAATGCCGCTAGCAGTGTCGATTTACCGCTTCCAACAGCACCAACAATGAGTGTTAGCTTTCCTTTTGGTATAGAGATGGTGACATTCGATAGCTGAGCAGGGAGACCAATTTTGCCAGAAGGTTCTTTCAAAGTCTCCGTCTCGGTCGTTTCACACCCTTCACTGGACCACTTGAACGTTGCATGTCGAATCACAAACGAAGGTTCTGAGATGAGCGAGACTGAAAGTGATGTCGTACTGCGTTCATGTCCTTCAAGATTCAGAAATGACTCTAATCGTTTCATCGATACTTTGGCTTGAAAAATCAGTGAAACTACTTGTGGCAATGCCATAAGCGGCATTCCAAAAATACTAAACAATGTGATTGCGGTAAAGGCTTTGTCAGCTGTCAGAGATTCTTTCTGAATATACGAATAAGCAGCAAATGTTCCACAAGACACAAGGACCGGTCCCGCCTGTAACATTGCTCGTCCATGCGCAACCAAGATAATGGCTTTTTTCAACCACTGAAGCTCTTTTCCACGAATGGCATTCACTTGCTCAAGCATCTCACTCTCCCATGCGTATAATTTAATGACACGAATATGTTGCAAGAATTCCGTTAGAAATTTCAATCGTTTGTCCGTACATTCCAATATTTTCTTGGAAAGTTGGGCAGCCTGAGACGATAGTATCGCACTTGTTGGTAATAAAAGAATCATAATAGAAACACCGGCTAAGGAGGCCGTACCAAGATAATGGACTAAAAGTAACATTCCAATAGCCAATTGAATAGGAGATGCCCATACATAATGGATCATATTGAACAAATTCAAAATCCGATTCGTGTCAATTGTAGCCAAATTTAAAATTCGGCCGGCACCCACTTGACTCTTGGTTTGGGACGATAATGTAAGTGATTTGTTGTATACGAGCATCGTAAGTGCCGAACGGACTCGAATTCCTTCTCGAATAACCAAATGATGATGTTGATGCAGACATAAAGTCTGGAAGATTGAAGCTATAAATAATATACCACTTAGGATATAAGGATAATGGTCAGAAGCAAACCAGACGGGACGGGGATCTTGAACGTATTGAATTAAGGCATTGACACAAATAGGGCCCACAAACCCAAAACAGTCACCAAATAATTTGCACATTCCTGCAACATACATGTGAACCCCAAACGCCTGACGAATCGAACGCCATAAAGAGTGGTTTTTAGTGGTAACGGCGTGCAGAGTGTTGGTCACGTGTAACGTCTCATCAGCATCGTCTAATGGCCATAAATCTTGGAATTCAAGCGGCTGAGACGAGCCAAGATGAAGCAAAGGACCGAGCCAACTAAATGTTATACGGGAGAACCAATTGGCCCGAACACTACGAGATAAAGAAGGAGGTTGAGATTGCGGGAGAGAGAGAGCCGCTGCACTAGAATGAAGAGGCAGAAGCGGCGCAGTCTCGTCGCTCTTTGTCATTTATTTCGATGTTAATATACTTGTACTTGTTTTTATGGTGTTAAATCAATTTGGGTATTGTTGCAAATTGGGTAATGGTTGGGAAAACATGTGTTTTTACTGTACAAAATGAATTGCAACGGAATACTGTCACCTATGATATTATACCTCTTTACTTTAATTATTTTGTCACAACATGCTAGCCCCTAGTTTGGAATACCCTCTGAGCTGGTATACGTACGTAAGTAACGAGGAAGTATCGCAACGCTCTGTGATTGGTTGAACCCCCTGATCGTGCAAGCCTGTCAAAACCAATGTATGTAGCCATCTCAATTCCCAGGTTTTCCTCAAAAAGGAAACCGCGCCTTAAAGCTGAAAAGGCAACCTCCAGGTTCTCACTTTGTCTCTAGCCTTTCCTACCTCCTTCGATGGCTCCACGCAAAACCCGTGCGTCTTCTTCTACCAAGCATCGTCCAAGTAACATGAAGAGAGTGCTCAGACGTCGCGAAACGGATAAAACACCAGCAAAAGAGTCCAAGACGGACGTCCCAGACTCAGACTCAGATCGGACGCAGAATCAGATTTCTCAGATTCCGATGGCTGCCACTTTGGATATTGTATCAGGTACTTATCTCTCTACAGCCGGTCGCACTTCTTCTATACTAAGTAAAAGACTACAAGAAACATGGGAAACATTGCAGCAAACCTCAAGCCACCAGCAGCAACAAGAAGACGCCGTGTTGGACGTTCAAGCAGCCGAAAAACTCAATCTCTTAGCTACTGAGCTTTTACAGCCCAAGCTTATGCAGCACAAGGACAAGAACATTCAGTCTCTTGTTGCCTGTTGTTTGGTCGAGATCATGCGCGTGTCATCACCTGACTCGCCCTTTAGCTGCGAGGAAGAATTGTATCGAGTGTTTAAGCTCTTTATTGACCAATTGAGTGCTCTGACGATGACTCAAACGACGACATCTATTGCTCTGCACAGTTTGTATGTCCTTGAGAGCTTAGCAACCGTGAAATCGTGTCTATTAGTCGTTGGACTGGATTTTACTATGGACGAAGATGAAGAGGTGATCATGGTGCAATTCTTTCGAGCACTTTTTGAGACAATTGAATGTGAAAAGTCGACAAAAGTTGAGACTTTGATGCTCAACATTATGGTCGCGTGTCTTGAAGAAAGTGACGATGTCGACCAGCCACTTTTGGATGTCATTCTGAGCCCTTTATTAAGTGACGAGAGCTCTCGAACCAAGAGTGAAGACGATGAACAGAGAAGCCCGTCCCATATGGCACGGGAATTGATCCGACGAACTAGTGATCTGCTGCAAAATCCACTTGCCAATTTCTTTAACAATATTTTGATTGACAGTCGAGGTGGATTAGGCTCACAAAAGCCTTTCAAGCTTAAGGAGCATGTGTACACTTTGATTTATGAAGTGCACAAGATTAATCCGTCGTTATTGTTGTATGTACTTCCTAATGTGTGCCTTCAGCTGCAAGTGGATGAAGTTGCCACTCGATCCGATGCTATTGCTCTTATGGGAAAATTGTTTGCGTCTTCACATGCAGATTATGGCCATCAGTATATGAAAAACTTTTGCGAGTTTCTGGGCCGTTTTCGTGATGCAAGCAAGGACATTCGACTGCAAATGATTCAAGTTTGTGTACCGATTTGGGAACACAAGACGGACTTAGCGAGCTTTTTGGAAAAAGAGTTTATGTTGCGTTTGAATGACCCGGAATGGGAAGTGCGGCAGCTTGTGGTACACGAGTTATGTGACTTTGCAGCAAACTGCTTGGAGCTGATCAGCGAGGAGTGTCTTCGGGCCGTAGGAGAGCGCATGAAGGACAAGAAAGTAGCGCTGAGAAAGGAAACGATGACTGGTCTCAGCCAAGTATATAGTACACACATTTCCTCGTGCTGGGCACTGGACGACGAGGAGGAAAACAGGCTTTTATCACTAAACCATCGCAATATTCCAGCCACTCATATAAAGAAACTGTGCTGGATTCCGGATTACGTATTGAAGTGTTATGCGTATCCTCAGCAGGAGCTCAAACTCCGCGTGGTTCAGCTTCTGGATGATTTCCTTTTGCCCAAGGCTTTGTCAGACCGAACCCGTGCGAATGGGCTACTGTTTATCTTCCACTCTTTGGATGCCACTTCGAAGGAAGCACTGCGACGAGTTTTCATCGAACGGGCCAAGTGCCAGGATGTCTGCAAGCAGTTTGTTGAATTCAAAATGCAGCATCGTCAGAAAGGGAGCGCTACAGAGAATGACAGTAATGCATTGGAAAACGCAAAAGAGCAGCTTTACACAGGACTTGCACCTCTATTTTCGGACATTAGTGGCCTGAACAAGCCCTTGGGAAATCTGGCAAAGTGGAAGGATCATACTGTATTCAAGCACATGGGTGAATTATGCGACTTCTCAAAGAATCAGCGTGAAATTCGTCATGCGAGAGATCAGTTGGTTCGATGTGTTGGATCAAAAACGCCACTGGGGGAGTTTTTGAAGAAACTTTGTCGCAAGCTTTCATTGCTGACAATGAATCAAGCTTTAGTTGCTGTTTTGTTGGACTTTTTGGACTTAAAGCAGGGACGGCCGTCGAGAGAGAATCGCAGTATCGTGGACCTGGTCGTGATGGCGTCTGGTGCATTACCAGAGTTATTTGCCCCGTTCATACGTGAAAAGGTTTCGGCGATTCTGGTCCGAAGCAACGATAACAGAACTACAAATCAATTCGCAGCGAATGACAAAGATGAGGACGAGGAGGACGAGGAGGATCCGGTGCCTACCGATCCGAGAGTCGTTCTTGGCGCCTTGCATGTTCTTGCCAACTACTCGCGGCATTGGTTCGTAACTCTTGGCGGAGATGATGCGTCGAGTGACAGTGATGATAGCAACACGCCGTCTGCAGCATTAGTAAAACAGCTCCACAACTTTTGTCTTGGAGATAGCAATGTCGAAGCGCAAAGCTTTAACGCTGCAAAGGAAATGCGTGCAGCAGAACTAGCAGCGTTTGCTATTTCCCACTTCTACGGGAGAACGGAAGATACAATGGAGCTGATCAGCAAGCTGTGTTTGAAAGAAAAGCTAGGTCTCCCAAAACATCCCGGAGTGTTACCAGCGTTGCAAAGTCTCGAAGTTTTCGCAAAGCGTTGCTGCCACATTTTTTCTGAGGACAGACCGCTATTTTTACGGCTATGGACACATCTACTTGACGACTTGATTAGCAAAAGCGACCAAACTTCTACATTAAGCACACCAGGACACAAAGAGCATAGACAAAAAAATAGCAGACCGGCTGCGACAAAAGACGCTGAAGTTCGTCGCTTGGCCATAAAGGTGGCGGTGAATCTAGTCGTGTACTGCGGATCCGCTAGAGGTCCGTCAAACTCGATAGATGAAGGTACGAAACTGATCAAACTTCTTTTTGGAATTTTGCGCTCGGACGGAACAACATATGCGTCAGCACCCACTTTGACCGCTATGTTCCGAGCTACTGCATCGTGTAGTCTCATAAAGTTAATGCGCAACCGTCAGCTCGAGGCATCCATGTCAGTTAGCGAGTGGCATTTGCTCGGCTTCACGATTCAAGACTCTAACGAAGATGTTCGCCGCAGGTTTTTGAAAAAACTAGCGTCTCATTTGATGAAGCAGCATGTCCAGTATCCGCACAAGTATCTCAGCTACTTGGCGCTTGCTGCTACCGACCCCAGCACCAGCTTGAAGAAAACTGCACGAAATTTACTTAAGATTGGTGTAGAGCGTATGCGACGCATCTTTGATGCTGCGTCTTCGCGCGAGTCGGAAGTAGCTTGTAGTCCTGGTCAATCGGGAGATAACTCGCCCGGTATGTGTGCACTCATGGTACCGGAGTACGCATTGCCATATGCGATTCATCTTCTGGCACATCATCCCGCATTTCCAGTAAAGTTGGTAAAGAGAACGCCTTCTATCATGGTTTTGCAAAGCGCGCTGTGGACTGACCAGCTGATGTATCTGAGGTTCTTTCTTGACGGATTGGTCTCGGCAAATGCCGCAGCGGTAGACAACATCGCTTTTTTGCTTCAGATTTTAACTAAGCTCTCTCAGTGCCATGACGTAACAAATCCTGACGACGTCAATATTTATCCTCTGATAGATAGCACAGCTGTTTTGCTCAAGAAGAAGATCAAGAAACAGTCGAACCTGAAGCCATTTCCGGGCAAGATTTTCTTGCCAAAACATTTGTATAGCCCCGGAAGACCCAGTACGCTAGTGACTCCGGGTAGGAGAGAGGAGCCAGAGGCACCTGAATCGCTAGGGACGACTGCAGCATCCAGACTCAGCGTGCGTACTACATTGATGTTTTGTATTGTTAAGTCTAACATATTTGGAGTAACTGTTGCTGATGCATGCTAAAACACAGACGTCGCTGTCGCCAATCAAGCCCATGGACTTTGCTGCGCATTTCATGAAGCTGAATTCTCCACTCGGGAGCTCTTTGCTCAACAGTTCCTTGAAAAAGCGCAAGCGGTCGTTTCATAAGGATGATGGAAGTTATTCGGATGCTGATGAGATGAAGGAAGACAACGATGATGATCCGCGTGAGTCCATGGCGACACCACCGCGACGCCAGTCATTGCTGGGAAATGCTCGGCCAGCGAAGCGTACATTTGCAGACGATTCTAGCGATAGCGGGGTCGAGTCAGATGCGTTCTCGCTTTCCACCGCTACCAGGCCAAACGAGCCAGTATGTGCAGCATCGTCACTACCCTCCTGAAGTAATTGCTGAACTGGAGGTGCAGAGCGAAGTGCCGCGAAGAAGCGTGAGAAATGCAGGCTAGAGCTTGTCGGTTTTGAGAAGGTAAGAAAAGTCTCGACGGCAAAGAAGCGGGGAAGTGGGCTTACACAACTGTTCTGTATGTTAGCCACGGATGTGATCAACGTCAATAGGCTGGCGAGGAGCTACGGACATGCGTAAGGACTACTTAGCCCGTTGTCAACTCTTATTATATTTAGCTTGTTTTCAGCGGTGCGCCCTAATTCATTCATTACCTATGCAAGTCGGTCTATTCTTGTGGTCGCATATTGCTCATCTACAGTAACGTAACGTCTACAAGAAGAGATGGAGTCCTAGTCGGATGATGGAAAAGCGATGCATGATGGGCATAACGTATCCCAATTCGAATTGGATAAATACGAGCCTACAGACTTTATGAGAGCAGAAAGTCGACGCGATGGCGAGGGTCTCGCTTCACAGAAGTACTGACACCGTCGTCTTGGACATTGCAAGCTTCATGGATGTCCTCCACACTTCTGCTAATCTGGCCGGTTTTGGAGATATTGGCAGCGGCAAGAATGCGTGCCGCGTCCGCGAGCGAAACATGAGCGTTCAAGGCACTGATGAGGTTCCAGTCTGCGCTGAACCACGTCACGCTGCCAGTATTGTCAAATTCAAAGCAGTACCGGACCGGAACGACGAGCATGGAGCCCATCATCTTCTGCAGCAGATCCATGTGGTGACGGAGCGACGGATACAGCGTTAGCACACCGTCTCGACGACAATTAATGTGAAAGTTGGTGTCCATGACGACGACAGTAGAGTCGGCCAAGGCCGACACATTCATTGAGAGGACCTCGTACCGGCTGTAGGTGTAAAAGTCATTGAAACGTTTCCAAAGGAAAATGATCGTCTCAACTCCAGCGTAATCTGGGCCAACAGTCTCCGCTGTCATGATAGAGCGAAGAAATTGTTCCTGCTGGATGACTTTGGTTGGCGAGATACCGTATTTGAAGAGCCGAAAGTATTCCATGGTCACACGAGCTGGCAATCCAGTGTCGGTGCCTCTTGAACTGAAACAGTTGCGGTCGACGAAAAGTCGTCGACGTTTTTCATTGAGCTGCTCGATATCGGTGAGTAGAATCTGCACGTTCTGTTCGAGCGTAATCATTTTCTCTTTTTGCTTAGCCCGGTGGCGTCGTTGGTGGAATTTGTATTGCTGGCGTCTCCGAAGCACCTTGTCATCATCGGTTTGCTCCTGTTGAGGGCGCTTTGGACAAGTGGGCGGCTTGCACACAATACCTGCAACGGCGGCCATTGCTATTTGTTTTGGTTGGTTCCTCAAAGACGGTAGAAACCAAAATGAACGCATTCGAAGTAGACGCGAATGGCAGCCGTGTTGTGGGCGACTCGTTCAGCTGTTGTCGATGTTGTCGGTTGTTGAACACAGCAGGGGATAGCCTCACGGTGATGAGACGGGCTTTCGGCTTGCATAGTGAAATCAAGATCCTTCGCCCGTTATGCGATACATGTTCGAATTGAATCGTAATGGTTCGGTCAGTGATGTCGGACGCCATTGCATGTACTATTAGACACTAGGATGTCTCCTTTGGATCTATCCCATTTGGTTATTCAAGCAGTTTAACGATGCAAGAAAACCTATGAACGTTGTGGATATGTTCCATGCACTGAAGTATGAGGTCAACTACTTTTTCAAAAGGCTCGGCGACGGTTTTGGACAAGAATTGCCAGCCTTATAAACCATGTCAGACTGCGCGAAACATGTACCGTCCCACGGAGAAGATTACGAGCAAGCATTTGCAAAATTGTCAACCTGTTTGATTGCATTTGCTGTCGAAGAAAATGATGGTTTGTATGAACAACTGTCTCGTATGAGTTAAGGTACAGCCGCTGGTGTGCAAGCGTTTGCTTGTCAGCAAAAAATGTGCCTTTCTAAACCCTACCGTTTGTTGTGCAGGGAAATTCTACTCAACAGCGCGTTCTTGACAATAGAAAAAATCAGTCGTCTATCTACGATGGTGAAGTACTTTCCAGACCCGGTGTGGACGTCATCGGTGATCCAAGAGACATGCGCAAATTCTATGCAGCGTTCGGCCTAATGATTTCGCGACGCGATTCGGATGATGCGTGACCTCAGCGAATTCGGAGACCTTCACTTGTTATGAAGCAGCAGCAGCTTCCACATGCTCGGTGATGAGCAAACTCAAACGCTTCAAGCTGGTAATGCCAAAGACATTGTTTCGACAAAAAGTTGCTTCGAAATTGGATCGAGGCAAACTCCAAGGCGGACACTTTCGGTGATTGACCTCGCTTGGCACACCGAAAGGTGCGTAGTGTACAGAGGATGTGCTTACGAAACTCTGCAGCTCGACCAAGCACCAGCAAAATCAAGACCATATCGTCTACTGGCCAAGAGGAATGTGTGTGCTTTTCGTATAGACACGGAAGGTCTCTTGTTACAGCTTCACCAAGTGCTCGTACTTTCAAAGTTGGTGCCTACGACTCAAACCCTGGGAATGAAAGCATAACGTCGTGTCAAACATGATCAAGCTATGTCTTGCTGACTCATCCTGACATGAAGGGCGAAATCTGCCAGCATTTTACATACCAAGCACGGCTGGCTGTCACGACTTACGCGCCGAACAACCATCTGATACGCGTGGGATCAACAAAGCTTCCTTGTCTTGGCTCACTGCTGGCTCCATTTTGCTTTGAGTCAGCGAAAAAAAGGAGCTTACATCTTGTGTCTTGCGCCAGGAATAGAGGAGCCGTTGACTCGTACACATCACCAACCGAGAACGTTGCTGTTGATGCGTGATCGCGCATCCCAACCGAGATTTCAAAGCCCCGTCGCAATGTTCTATCGTTCATGGTTGCATCGCTGTCCACTCTTCAACGACGAGACGATTTTGAAAACATGCGCGAGATGATGTCCAGCTCAGCGGTAGTGGCGTCATCTAGAGCAAAGTTCATTTTGTTGCAAAGGCCGTCGTGGACTCATTTGATCTGACTCATTGCTAGTCGCTGAGTCAGTCGAATCTCATACACCGAAACTCACCATGTCTCAGCAGTGTCTTACTATCTCTGCTCTACATGCATGTAGCCAGCAAGCCATCTGGGTCGTTGACAATCTCTGCATCTCATGCAGTCAACGCAAATCTTGCGTGACACGAGTCATAAAATGAGCCATAAAGCTGATAAAGGTGCTGGCGAGTGCTATGCTCAAGCGAGGAACACAACAAGGACGAGAATGGTCGACAAAAAGACCGTCTTAAGTACACAGTGGACTCTTTGTTGTAATAGCCAACTTGCTGGAATGAATCTAAGGACTCTAAGTACAAGCTTATCAACGTTACCACCGAGTCAAATGGAAGCAGAAGATGATTAACCTTCTCAACCGGGCAGCATCTTATTGATGTCAAGGATACCGGCCAGCGGCGTCGCGGCATAAAATAGTCAAGGATTACATGACACTGTTCTATTTTGTCGCATCTCGGCTGAGCCGGAACAGATCTCGCGGGTGATCATGACGTGGGACACGAAAGACTCCGACTCGTCTACGAGGTCTCATTTCCCACGAGCGACTGAATGTTGGAATATGGACTGCATCAAATGCCAATGAAATCACCAAGGATGGCCAGCCAGACCTACTTTACTTGACCTCTTTAAAGACAGAGGAACATCATCATGGCGATGATGTGGCGAAAGTATGGAATGATCTTAGCCTTTATCGTGTCAGTCTCGTCTCTGATATTCTGCGACTTACAGCGTTGCGTCTTAAGGACGCACTGTGCAAATTGTTGGCTGTAGAGACGCCACTGCTACACAAAGGCGTCAACTTCCTGAGGATGTGTTCGATGCTGCAATTACTAAACGCGTCCGGTTCACCGTTGGCTATCGCGACTTTGTAGCGATGCAAATAATCGATGTAGCCGCGCGGCCTCGGATCTTCTGGACTTGCGCGTTAGGCTCGAGAAGCTGCTTTATTTGATTCTGGAACATTCAATCCTGCAGATTCGCTTTTCCTGGTGCACGACACGGTCCGTTCCGTTTCGTCGAATTGGTTGTGGGCAATACTTTGGTCGAGAGCGACTGGAAAGTCCATACGTTCGCCGTTGCTTTAAATGGATGTGGCGGTCACGTTTATGAGGTTTTGGTGAATGAAGTTATTGTCATTGCAGTCTCTGGCTCAATAAGGTCGCAATGTGCGCGAGTACTAGAAAAGCTGCACATTTTGCGTAACTTTTAGACGCTCAAGTGAAGACGAGTCGAACGGGTGAGGATCAACGACGTTGTTAGCTGATCTCTTGGGGTGCTCGCCACGCCATAAAAAAGGCTCGATATGCATCTGCAGCTCAGCAACCGTTATGTGAAATGCCATCACTTCGAGACAAAACAATCCACATCCGGTCGCATGAGACGTGAGTAAGTGATGCATGACTACATTACCTTTAACGTAAAGCTCGCCTTTTTGACAAACTTAATTTCTTATCCATTGAAGCACCAGCACAGCAAGCATTGGTTCCTACCTCTTCAGACCAGATCTAGTTGCCGATTGAGCGGCTTCCACTTTTTTACTTGACCTCTCCATCGATTTCGAGCAGAGTGCGAATTTCTTCAAACGTATGTAGCAGCACAGCACGACGATTCTGTTCGTCTGACGACCTCGAGGACGATGAAGACATTGGCTCATTACTGGGGATGTACCCATTTCTCACGTCGTACACGAACTCGTAGATAAACGCATACGTGTCGGCGAGCGTCGCGGACGTAAGTGCACGGGCCTTGTCTGAAAGTGCAGGTTGTGCTAGACTGTCAAGCTGAGGGAACATCAGAGTCGTCAGTGCCGCGCAAAAATCGCCCATTACTCGTGTGATCGTCCCGCCATCAAGGCCAGGTGTATCCGCTGGCGACGTGTCAGGCTTCATTGCTACGGATGCATGGCTTTGCTGATACTCTTGAATGTGTTGTAGAAGCACGGCCACGCGGCATCGATCCATCACGCGCGAGGCTTGCAATTCGCTCAGATCTCGCAGCCATTTCTCCAAATCGTGGTCCATTTTAGTATACCACTTCGTCACTTCAGGAAATCGTGTTAGGGGTGCTTGCAGACAGCTGAAGTTGTTGATACGGAAGACGAGTGCTTCTACAGGATCCAAACCTGCCACGCTGCGCTGACACATAAGTTCGACCGCAGACAAAACTCCATCGAACAAAGGTGCTAGATCAGCTTCCTTTTCTCGCTCAGGTAGCAGCGAGGTTTGGAATACTTCCAACAGCGCTACTAAGCGGTGTGAAACATCCATCGTGACGTGCGTTGCTGCGAGGTTGGCGGTATAATCCTGTGCCGAAGCTGCAACGGCATCTACAAGTTGCTGAAACTGGTGGCGGAACGTTTCGTTTGCGATCTCACGACAGTGCTGAAGAGCACGCGCAAGATCGGCGTGTCCTATCAGCTTGTCAAACTTGTGGGTGTAAAAAACTAGCAGATGAACCAACTTGCAGGCAGTCACAATGCAGTGTGGAGAGCTAAGGGTCTGCTCAACACGAACTTGTAGTGGCCGTGACACACCATCAAACGCACGTCCGACCATGGTCGTGCAAATTTCTTCAGCAGCAACATCAGTAGATCCCTGCGATTTGTCCGTCTGTAGCAAGGTATCATCAGTTGTCATTCTGCTCATTGCCTCGCTTAATTGCGTAGACTCAGTAGCAGCCGAAGGATTAAACTCCATATCGCCATCAAAGAGCACGCGGAAGAATTCACTCTCCGTGGCAATGGCCTGGTGAATCCACGCGAGCATATCACCACAGTATCGCACTGGATCATGTGCGTGCATCTCAATTGGTCGTGGGATGCCGTTTGGTCCACCCACCGTCAACGCCATGATAAAGCGACGGACTATTAGTGACCGTCGCGACACTGTCAAACTCTCTTTGCAATAGCTAAACACCACAAACCATATTGTCAGTTGCAAAAAAAAACAAGAAAACCAGCACCCTCCATACTAAAAAAAACTAATCTCACTTGTAAAACTCTTCACGATCACTAAGAAGTGCAATAGCTCGATGCAGGAAATTGCTCGGCTCTCCGTCCATTTCCACACACTTTTTGGCTGTCCAATGGTATAGTCTCTCATAACCAGCTTCTTGGTATGTGCTTACTGCATTTAATAGCTCCAATCTGTCGTTTCAGATTCAAAAAAAAGAAAATACACGATCAGATTGTTTCGAAACATAATTTAGAAACTAGACATTCAGAACCACACCCGCAAGTCACGTCGCCTCTTCCTACCAGCTCTTTGCAGTCCTCAATAACTTGTTGAGCTCGTTCCAACGTACTGAAAAAAACGTCCATTTGATCGTCCATTAGCTGTTCTGCATATAAAATGCCTATTTCTTCTTCTGTTAATTGATACCGAGCCAAAAACACTTTGGTCTCTTTCCACTGTTCCTGTACAGTATCTCTGTTTTAAAATCCATATTTACAAATCTGTTAGCTTCTAAATGCTAAAATGTAGGCAGCCCTACCCCTGAATCCAAAAAAAAGAAATACCTTTTTGTAGCTAAATTTGCCGCTTCCGTCTGTACCTGCTCTGTTTCCTTTTTGGTCACTTCTAAAAAATTGTGTACCTCGTCACATTTATAGTCCAGTGTATCCACTTTAGTGACTAGATCTGATACTTGCTCTAATGTCCGGTCTAAACCGTCCAATGCCGTCTGAGCGAGCGTCAATTGCTGCGTCTCGAGACTTGAGCGTAAATTACGTCGCAATGTCGCCAACGTGGGCGTCTGGAGCTGCATAAAAGACGCATTTAAGCTCGTCCCGTCCTTCACGAGCGTGTCTAGAAGAGTTTTAGTGGCTTCCAGCTCTGTTCGGGAGCTCAGAAGTTTGTGCACACGGGCCTGCAGCGCTGCTGATGTCGCCATGGTCGAATGTAATACTGTCAAACGGCATGGATTATAATAGAAGAGAGGTAGGTATGCGGTATAGGAGGTTTTTGTTTTTAGTTTTTACGGTGTTGCCGACTTTAATTTAGAGTAGATAATTAGGTAAAAAAAATAACATTTAGATAAAATCTTTGCTGTACTAGATAAAACAATAGCGATGACAAATAGAGTCGACCGTAATTTATGGTGGTGACATTTGAAAATATAAACGTTATGTGAACCATCAAATGCATACAAAATCAAGCATGGACGAGATTTTGTCCGTGGATCCAAAATGTGAGGTAGAATAGGTCTTCCTCGTCAGGAACAGTTGTAATCTCATTGAAGACGAATTGACTTTGAAAAATAATCAACCGATCCGGTTCTGGATTGATCTGCCGCACAGCAGAATTCTCATGTAGCGATGTTCGAAGCTTTAAATTTGTTTTCTTGTGCTCTGTATCAACTGCATTGATAAAATAAACACACGTCAATTTGCATCCATTGTCCTTGTCACCAGCTCCACAATCCAAGCGAAGAGGCTGATGATGTCCAGCTGGTAGTTGTTGAATGGCAGTGCAGTGTATAAACTGAGCACATAGCTTGGCATTATCCGGTCGCTTCATGTTGATCTCGTACGGTAATGCATGCAGTTTCTCGATCAACTCGGCCAGCGCTGGATATTCTGCTGTACAGTCTTGATGTTCAATAAAGCGAAGGTTGACTCCTGAAAGAGTCTCCTTGTGATTTTGTTGACTCATCATGCGTTCACTCGATGTTGTAGTCAATAGCAAACCGTTTCTAGTCATTCTTAACACGTCATTGAGCAGCAACTGCGTCCATTCCTCGCCCATGAACTCGTCCAGAACTGCCACACCACTCACGTCACTCTTGTTAATTAGCAACTCATTGAGAAAATTATCGTCCAGTTGGTCCCATGTGGCAAAGTCCGAGTTTGGGTCGGCAAGTAATCTCGCATCGTTTGCCAATTTGACATGTTTTTGATAATTCACTCGATGTACCATAGCCAATACTTCTCTCCCAAATGCTTCTTGCAGTATTTGTGGCATGAGCATCCGTTCCGTAGTTGAATCCATTACATCTCCTTGGTCTGCACCTTGTTTTTTCACACTGGTCAAAACACTTGCTGCTTTTGCTTGTACTTTGGGCATAAGTGCCAATAATTCTTGTTCGTACCACGGATCTTCTAATAAAGTCTGCAAATTTCTTGGTGCATGAATTAATTGTTCCGTTGGAATGCCAGGATAAATCAATTGCTGGAATTCGTCTTGCTGCAATAATTTCGCAAACACTCCATCATTTAAAACCACACTTTCGCCACGACTATTGATTCCACGTTGATTGCATCCATCAAGTAATTTTTTCAGCATTAATTTCCATGATCGCTGGCTTGTATCTGGAGTCAGATGTTCTTTTTCCGCATAAATCGATTTTTTTCCCGATAAAAACCCTTTTTTTACCATTTGTTTTCTAGATTTTAGGATATTTACTCTTGCAAGTGTTTTTTTTGCTGCAGAAGCTGAAATTGTTGTTTCCAACCGTAAATATTCTTCAAACGCAGTGATTGCGTCATCCCACCGTTGCAACGATTCGCAGGCGGTGCCCTTTCGTAAATATCCTTTTGACCAATCAGGTGATAGTTCGATGGCCTTTTCAGCGTCTTGAAGAGCTTCGTAAAATTCTTTTAATTGGTGACAAGCCGCCGAGCGATTGCCAAATAGCAAATGATTTGTATTTTGTATTGAAATGGCCTGTGTATAAAATGTTTTTGCTTTTTGAAATTGCCGACACTTGAATGCTTCATTTCCTTTTTGACGTAAAAGTTCAGCTTGATCTGTAGAAATATCGCTACTATCAAAAGATCCAACGACCTTTAAAGCAAGATCCGTCATGCTTGGTTTTTGCGATAATTTCGAAATAAAAGACACAAAAAGTGGACAAAACGAGTTTTATTCAATTAAAAAGGAAGATTAAATAATTGGTAGAGCAAATAGGTGTCAATTGTAATAGATATCGTCGTCGATAAAGTGCTTTATCGAGTCTGGCGCAAAATTGAACAGTACTTATTTCAGTTCGCGTCAGTCGCAACACTGTAAAGATATGCACAGGACACACTTGAAGTTGAAGCACGTGTGCCCGATTCAGATGATGTTTATCACTCACGTGCTTCAATATATAGCTCAACTCTCTATCGATGGTCAATTTTAATCAGAATCGTAGCGTTAAAGCACCATAATGGAGACCTGATACTACTTACGACATAGACAACATTACACTGTCTAAGAATAAATTATGTTATGATATTAGTAAAAGACGCAGTCGTCACACTTACTACCTAATCAGGTTGACTTGGCTACTTTCTGCAGCTCCAATGATCCAAAGGCTCTACTTGTATCTCTTCTTTTCTTCTGTTGTATACACGATTGTGTTCATGCTTCATCATTATTAACACAATCGTGACTTGCTGCATCGATGAGTGAGTGCCCAAGAAATTGACAAAGAGGAACGGTAGCGCACTACAAAATCTCTCTCTCCTCCTATCATGGCTCCCAAGTCATCCTCTACATGTGTTCACGATGGCACTCCATACAGAGAAACAACGAGTCTGATTTCTTTCCAAATTCACATGGAAAACTAATTCGTCCACTTTGAAGCCATCTCTTGGTCAAAAACTGTTTAAATTGTTGTAGGACGTCCCGGAAAAACTGCACCAAATTGGCACAAATGTTGCTGGATGTAGCCATGACAGCATTCTCATGTTGCCATGTTTGTAAAAAGATCACGAGTTCACCTACAGATGCATCACGAATGTCTTCATCACTCACAAAGTCCGTGACATTTTGTACAAAGACAGTAACAAGTGGCCACGACAGTCTCAGTCTCGCTTTAACAACACTCTGCATCTGTCCGACAGCAAAAGGAATGGACTGTAATGATTGTCGCAAGTGAGCAAAGCTCCAACTCACTGCACAATTACAATAGTGTGCGACGTCACGAAGATAATCAAGCACAAGTGCAACCATATGAACGGCCGAGACGTCATCTTTGTCGTCTTGTGTTTCGAAAATCTGAGTCGTTAGAGACGAATTGATCTTCATCAAGGTAGGAGAACAAGGTGAATGTTCTGGCTCGAGTTTGTCTGGAAATAAAAAGTCACGGGGCAATCGTATCGGTTCATGGTTAAGAGAGGAAGACAATTTCTTTTTTGTTGCTAAGAGAGCGTCCCCATTATCCATAGAATATTTGGAAAATGTACGTTTCAAACTCTGCATTTGTTTTTACTATTAAATTCGAATCAAGAGTGATTGTCAAGTGAGACCTTTTCAGCAATTTGCCAAGTGACTCAAACTCTGGGGTCTCTCTCTCTCTGTGAGATGGGCAGTACTGTAATTCTTTGCAAAGATTCGACGTGTGGACCACACCAACCGTTGCGTCCCACACCAAGCCAGCTGTGTGCGTTTCCGTTTTCTTTTGGGCCATAGACGCTGCGATTTCCTTTGACGGGTTTTGAGCTGTAGACAAGAAAACATGCTTGATTTATTATGATATCGATGGTAAAATGAGGCAAGTTACTACAAGCGACAGCAAAACGGATCCGCTTGCTTTATAGCTTCAGTTTGGCGCCCTGTCCCAGATTCCGTCGGCGCACTGGCAGCGGGACGACTTTTATTCCATCGATTTTTTAGTCTGGAAATTTTAAGCCCGTGACTTTTATTTTTAAGCGCAACAATACACTTTTACCGGCTGCTGACGCGGTAAAAATGCCAATTGTACAGAACGAGGACTGAAGGCGCTACTGCGACCGACTCTTTTGCTTAAGTTCGTCGTCTGAAGAAAGTCCAGTCGCAACAAGAAGTTGAAGTTGGGGCTAACCTTCTAGCGTACAAAACCGCGACGTCCGATCTTTCTTAGAGTCTCCAGAATAACTTTCCAATACATTTTCCCTCTATACGCTACGATGACGGTAGCGAAAAACTGGTCGGTACTTTTGCTGCCGTGATTGCAGTGGTACTGTATTGCCAATTGTCCAACTATCCGTCGCTGCTTCGAAAATAAAGCAGTAGTATACGTCGTCTGTGCAATTGGCTGCATAAAACGTGTTCGCTTGCTGGGTGTTTGATTGCCGAGACATAGATTGGTGCTACCTATCCACGCGTGACAACTACGTCGATACCTTATACTTTTTGTCACAAAATGAAAAAGAATCACGCAGTTCAGTCTCCGCAATGCATCAGATGTACATTACGTGGGAGCTCAGAACTCAGTTATGAAACTGCCTATCATATACCCTACGTGGTCAATCCAAAGGGTGTGAACAATGGTCTTCCCCAGATCATTTTTTGGGTGACGGATGCTGAACCGAATGGGCCTTATCTCCAGTACTAACAAGACTGAATCAGCTGACACGTTTGTCAATACCAATGACACATTCTTATTTGCCAGTAGTTTGGATGGCAATGCTTCAGATTGGCTGTATCGGGGCTCTGTGTCGGAATTGAAACGCCTTTGTCTGGACGTCAGCCCTTGCTCTAGTGGGCATAATATAACTCACACTGCTGTAGACTTGTGGACCGCCTTACGGTCAGCATTGTTTCTTGAAGCAAAGGGAAAGAATTTCGAACGTGAAGACACCGACGACTGGCTTCAAAAAGTGGTTGAAGATATTTTAGAAATCTAGCGCGATCCTTCGCTGATCCAATGGGATATGATGCTTTCAATGGAGAGGCGAGGTGTCATCACGAAGCAGCTGCAGCCATCAAACGACGCGATGGCCTCTGCTAGCTACTGATGACTGGCAGCACAGCTCTCCAACAACTGATGCCCCCCCCCCAATTTTCTTTGACTCTAGCTGCACGCCGTCCAAAAGTAAAAAGCCCAAGGCATCATTTTGTAGACAAAAGATAGGACCAATATGTCAAGCAATCAGCTTTGATACCAGCATGCGAGATTAAGTGATTGACATCTCAACAATCATGGCTGTCGGCCTCATTTCGTCACCAAGGCTAATGGACTGACCGCAACTATGATGCGGTGCGTAGATAGATCTCTACGAAACACTGCATGGAGTTTTCATCCAGTGGCCTCATAAAATGTGGGCAACTCAACTTGCCAAACTGAGTCCACTTCTCAAATTCCCAGGTTGCAGTCCTCATCGAGAAGACAACGTTGCATCGTTAGTGGAAAGGAACTCTATCGGGTAGATCAACGCAATGGCATGTCTCCACTTCGCCACGGAACAAACAATTAGAGCACAGCCTTCATTTTGCTTCCGTGTAGAACTTAGTCGTACTTGTTCTAATCTGCTCCACTTCATTCGTTCGCAAAGACTTCGACCAAAGGCAACTGTATTCTCCTTCGACATCTTGCTCGAGCAAATTATCAATACGATTCAATGCTTTCCCCACTTACAGCCACTTTTTGTAAAACTTGAAAAACAAAAGCGTTACAAGGGCGATCAAGAGTATGACAGCCCACCACACATAGTAGCCATTGTGGTATCGAAGCTCGGGCATATTGGTAAAATTCATGCCGTAGAGTCCAGTCAAAAACTGTGCTGGTAAGAAGATAGCTGCCACCAAAGCCAAAATGTAGCTTACGTCATTCTGTCGCGCAGCTCGTGCGTTGTGAAAATCTTCGATGAGGCTACGACAACGGTCTAAATGCCGTTCGCAGTCCTCCTCGATAGTAGTTATGTGATCCATCACATCACGGAAATACCGCAATGTTTCGCCTTCAAACTCGTCGGATTCCGAAAGCTGTACAATGACCTCACTCATCGGTCTACACAGGACTTGGAGTCCTTTGATCTGCGTAGCACAACGAACGAGTCGGCTTAAGTCAAAGTGGCGTGGGTCAATCCGTAGCAGCTGCTCGAGCATGATCAGTTTTGACCCGAACGTATGCGTAATGGGCGCCAACTCGTCCACACAAACATCCACAATCGTATAGACAAGGAAAGCAGTACCGTGCTGACGCACCTTCGAGTATGACCTATCCAGCCTCTGCTTCAGCATCGGCCAGAGTGTATTTGAACTCTCCTGGACACTGATCAAGACATCTTCCATAATGTACAAACTGAGCTGCTGGGGTGCCGTCATCACACAACCGAGATTGAGATGATCCAATCGTTCCTCCAGTTCCCTTTTCGTCATCCGCTCAAATGGCGACTCGTCGTCGTCGTGGACATATAGTGAGGCACGATACATGCTCTGGTAGTTTTTTACCATGAACAAGTCACGCGCGTGGATAGTCTGGAGAATCAAGAACGAGTGTTCGTCATACTCGTCGTATTTTGGACGCTCAACATCGGCATCAAGCGTATCTTCAACAGCCAGTGGATGGAGTCGATAGCGTACCGACAAGCGTCGTATCATAAGAGGTGCAATCCCTTCAATATTGATCCATCTCACTGACGCCCAACTTGGCTTGGTCGAGTAGATGAATCTCTGAACGTGGTCGATCGGATACACGCTGCGAATGCGGTCGGGAGAATATTCTATCGATCCAAGGACTGCCTCATTCACTCTCTCGCGTTTCACGTATGTGTACTCTGGCGGCATGTTCCGCAAAAAATCTTCATTGAATAGCTGTGCAAGCTTAATCTCCTGGATAGCAAACAAAAACTCCTCGTACGTAACGCCTCCACTTTTATCATCATCCACCTTGTCAATAAACGCTTCAAATTGCTCGTCATCATCACATGCAATACCCATCGCCTCCAAACCACACCGAAATCCTTCGTACGACACCATCCCATTGTCTAGTAAAAAAAGAGGCATAAGACATTAAGAAACGCAACGTCATAACAAAAACAACGTATCGCACCTCCGGGGTTAAACAGTGAGAATAACTTCATCATCCTTGCAGATGTGAGGTCAAAATGTGGATCCAGCAATGACATATCTTCGACTTCATTTACCACCCCGAGACTATCCGACCAATCGACTGAATTCGAATCCCTCGCAATTGAATCAATTGATCCAATTGCCATAATCTGAAGAATATTTTTTCCATGCAGCAAAGTCGGCATTGGTGTCGTCACTTTACTTGAAGTTGAAGATATCTCATTCATCTCGTTCTCAAAATTTGGGATCGACTCTTTTGAATTTCGAAAACCTCGACGATTTCGAGAATCCGTCGATACAAATTCAAAGTTATTTTTGCAACGACTGATGACATTATCACTAACAGTACGATGCAATCGGTTTCCATCGAATCGAACACCTTCATCCGATGCCCAATTTACAGGCTGAAACGTGGTGGAATTTTTGGATAATGGACAATCATGACCGATTTTTTGTCGATTTTGACGTGATCGAGAGCTTTGAGATGGTGAGATTGGAATATTGTCTTCCATGGTCACGATGGAAACGTTATCGTTAAAAAGAAGAAAGTCGCTAGAGCTTTCGGCATTCATGCGACTACTAAAAATGGAGTTTTACTCTCAGATTTAATATCCACTTGAAATATTTGGATAAAATGTACAGCAAATATTTACAACAATCTGCTTAAACTTATAGCTCATATGCAATTTTTGCTACTTCACGCAATGGTCAAACTGTTGTATTGCAATTAGACAATTGCAACTGTCTGTTCCTTATGGCCATTCTCCACCAAGTAGCAACAGCGTCGAGTTTCTAGAATCTGGATCACAAACTATAGTAAGACTCGGCCTTGTTTGTATATTCTTAAGTCTTACAAAACGACCAACAGTAGCTACAACCAACAAAAGTCGATATTTAGAACGCGAGCTACACAGAACGATGGTTATCATGCTTTTATTTCGTCTGCGTGATGCTGCTGCTGGGCAATTATACTTGATCTCGTTTCGAATGAAGCTACAATAGATTTGGATCAGACGGTGGTAATACTCTCTCATAGCCGTCTAGCATGTGGCCACCAATATGATAAGACACCTTCATTGTAAATGTCTAGCAGTACTCTCCGGATTTGACTCTTCACTTCTTTCAGATCAAGCAACGAATGTACTAAGAATAAACTACATGTCAACCATATCTCAATACAGCTCACGCATATTCTCACAATACTGTGGATCGATGATCATTTCACAAAACTCTGTTTTGAGTCCTACTTGTATGAGATTTTTCAGGGTTACTACTGCACTGAATCCTATCGACAAGCTTGACAACCTTTATAAGAAGATCATCAAAGCAGTCGAAAAAATCGATTGCTTACTGTAGCAGCACAATCTAAAGTCCGTCCAATGTCGTAGCATTTTGTACATACAAACCACCGTAGTTATTTGCTCAATTACAAATGGGTACAATACGAAAACACGCAGACCACTCATTCCATCAAGATGTCGTCTTCTATCCAAGCTTTGCTACTGGATATGGATGGCGTCTTGGCCGAAGTGTCCCAATCTTATCGTCAAGTGATTATTAACACTGCCAAATATTTTAATGTCTCGGTCACACATGAAGATATTGACAGACTCAAACTTGCTGGTAATGCCAATAATGACTGGCAATTGACCCATCGTCTCATTCTTAACGGATGGAGTGATGCTACTAGTCCCAAGCCATCACTGGACGCCGTGATTGCTCAATTTGAAGCTTTGTATCAAGGTGTGGGCTCTACCCCGGGACTATGTGAGCTTGAGACACTGCTTACACCTGTAGGGTTACTACGAGAACTGCAACGTCGACTGCCTAAAGGCATGGCAATTGTCACGGGTCGTCCACGCAAAGACTGTGCCAAGTTTTTGAGCATCCACGGCATTGAGGACCTCTTTCCGGTACAAATCTGTATGGAGGACTGTCCGCCCAAGCCATCACCTGAGCCTATTTTACTGGCGCTTAAGACACTGGGAGTTCGTGCAGAGGACGTGGCCATGGTCGGTGATACGGTAGACGACATTGTTGCAGGACGTAAGGCCGGTACCATTGCGTACGGTGTGTTGACCCCACAAGTTTATGCCAAGTCGGTGCTGGAGCAGACACCCGCAGCGATCGGAAAGGTACTGGAACAGGTTGGAGCTTCGGTCGTACTGAACCCTGGACTGGCAGGACTGCTAGACCTCATTCCATCGACGACAAGCAAAGTCTCAATTGCAGCTGAACAAGGAAAGAGTGTCGCCATACGTGAGGCAAACATCTCTCGTGTAACAAAGGAGACGTCGATTAACGTCAAGCTGTTGCTAGACGGCACGGGCAAGTCCAAGGTATCCGTTAGACAACATTGTCGTTCTGTCATGGTGCAAACGATTTACGTTTGTGTTTGTGTGTTTGTCTAGGTAAGCTCTGGCATTGGATTCCTCGATCACATGTTGACAGCATTGGCCAAGCACAGTCGCTTCGACCTTGAGCTCGAGTGCAAAGGTGATATCTGGATTGACGACCACCACACAACAGAGGACTGCGCATTGACGCTTGGTGAGGCCTTTGATGCTGCTCTCGGTGATCGTGCGGGCATTGCTCGTTTTGGATCGGCTTGTGTGCCGCTAGACGAAGCGCTGTCACGCGCCATCGTAGACATCTCGAGTCGCGCGCACAGCGAGATCAACCTGCAGTTGGTGCGTCCAAGTGTCGGCGAGCTGTCGTGTGAAATGATCACTCACTTTTTCGAGTCATTTGCAAGTGCCGCGCGTCTCACGTTGCACGTTGACGTATTGCGTGGTCGCAACGACCATCACCGTGCCGAATCATCTTTTAAAGCTCTGGCTGTTGCACTGCGCACTGCCGTCAAGTACGACGCCACTGCTGGCGTGCCAAGCACCAAGGGCGTCTTGGCATAAACATTTTGCTTGATATCAGTCAATATCTCTGAGCTAGACGTTACATGATGTTGCGTTGAAAGTTTTTGAGCAAAACGAAAAAGTATTTGAAGCTGCAGTACGTTGTCATGGATACCTAGAGCTCGTAAGTCTCGTGCCACCCAACGAGCTCTGTGTTTGCTAGCATCCCGATCAAATATCAAGTAAAAACAAAAGAATCGAAGAGGTTTGAAAGTAATAATGGGCGTTAAGACAGTCTCATGACGATCAAGCTATGATGACTTTTGATAGAAATTGAAGAAAAGAAGAATCTCCTAAGCTTAAGCCATGAAGACAGCCAGAATAGTAGCAGAGATCATGGATCCCGTCATCAATACAATCGATGACGCGTCCGAGCTGACAGTGGTCGCATCTCCCGGAGTGTTGGCGTTGTTGTTTCCACCCATGTCCATTGACTTGCTTTTGTCCATTTGATCATGGGCACTTCCTTCAGCAGCATCACGAACTTGATGACACTTCTCGTGGAGCTCTGAAATCTCCATCGAGAGATTACGAGATGTACCCATGTACGTAATGTTGCAGTCAAGTGGCTTCATGTTCTTGTGAATTGGCTCGAGACACGTTGACGAGCTACAGAACGTCATAAAGTCTTTGCTCGTAAACTGGAGCACATCAAAGACTGACTTGACATTGAACGTGGTTCCTTTAGCACACGTGTCAAAGTACGCGCTATTGTCAATGGCAGCAATCAAAGGCTGACTGATGTCTGGTGGACATTCTTGAGCAGTTGTGACAATTGTCGACATGACAAGAACCGACGAAGCAGTAAAAACAGACTTGGAAAAAGTCATTGGAGAAGGATGAAGCAATTTGCAGAGTGAGCTTTCTACTAAAGAATGAATGAACGATCGTTCTGCTAAACCGCTAGATGCAATTATTGACTGTCGAACAAGCACTGCCACTCACTCATACGTTTTCTATATATACATATGATGCCACCGTTGTTGAATGGGTAGAATGGTTTTCCCATACAACTTCAAACTCTTGAGTCAAAGGTTATCAGGCTTGAAAATTTAGACAGTTGTTACTATTGGGAAACCAGACCAGTTTGGTCAAACATTGCAGTCTGCATTCTGTGCCGATGGTCTGTTGACATGTGCAAAACCTTCTGGTTGTAGTAACGACCTCATATATCAAGTCCGAGGTTAGTTCTTCTATAAATTCTATTTATTCTATTTGAAACTCATCAAACATATTCCTACGAGATATAGAGTATCTGGTAGGAGGCTTCTCTCGCTCAGCAAACTGGTCGGCGACTTGGGGGCAGATTATGAAGGGTACAAACTGACATTAGTGCAGTCCGGACTTGAGCAAGAGAGAGAGAGAGAGGTTCAGATATTCTATTTACATGGTTTTAACGATGTGCAAGACCATACAGCTGGTTTCAAGTAAAGTTGAGAGTTGTTAATTGCATCAATTCTTGAATCTCTGGTGGTCCTCTAGGGTCACGCTCTCGCAACTCGATGCAAGCATAAGCAAGGCATCATTTGTGGATGACGCTCTTTTTCGATGCTTTCTCCTCGCAATTGCTCGGAGCTGACAGCCGAAAACTGGCGATTGCTGCTGGGAAGGTGGAGTGTGACAGTCTTGTAGACAGCTGCATTCCTGTCGAACCATATTCTTGTTTTACATAACGTCGCCAGGACGTGCCAAAGTTATGTCTAGACGCGTTCGACGTCACCCACCTCATCCCGACATCGGTCCGCCAAAATTTTCGTTTCGTACGCAGGGATGTTGCGAACCCTTCGACTGGCACAGGCCCATAGGAAGTTGTAGGTCAATTGACGGGTGACTTACTGCCCGATCCAGTGACCAATAAGTTTAGATTCTGCAAATATTGTCTCCGTTCCTCGCAGCGTGATATCAATTGTCTTGTCACCACCCGGTACCCTATCCAGACTTTATATGGTGTGAGACCATTACTATGATCCCACACTTGCGTCGGCGGTTGGCCGGAGCGCGGCGCATTGCCATTCATCCGTCGTAGCCAATCGGAAAATGCAATCAACGAGAACCAACAGTTGACGGGCGAGAATTTTTTTGTGGAAATGGAAAGCTTGCTTGCCTAAGGCTTTCGTAATAAAGTGATTCGAAATTGGGTCCAGCACAGACCAATGGACCAGATGAAGATCAGCCAAGCCTTCCTCTAATCAAATCACGGTCTAATCCACGACAATACCGGCGAAAAACGGAGACTGACAATCCTCTATCCCGAATAGTCATATCTTTTCTCATGTCAGTGATACCACTGCCGAAATCAATATGTAGAGGTTGAAAGTCGAAGCCTGACTCATATCTCGGAACGCACTTTGCATTGTTCGAAGACTGCTTATTGCTCTGGTAAAGCCATACCTTAAGCATCAAAATAGGGTTTGACTCGAATACAATTGTAGTCATGCTAGTCTCACCGGTGCAGTATTCATGACTCATCATCGACCACTGATATCATGAACATCGCCGCGATCAAATTCCTTTTAAGAAATCATGGCACTGCACAAGTCAGTCCACTGTGTTGATTCTGCACGCTTTCATAACAAAACACTGCGATTATGTTTCACTTGTCGGTCGAAACTTTGACGGTAGATCGCTGCACCCTTGCGTGCAATGTCATTGTCATATTACGGTGTCGAAGTCAGACAAGTGCCGTTATATCGAGCTGACTACAGACCAATGACTCTGAAATTCTAGTCAGCTTTTGCAGCTACAAGCGCAAGTTCGTTTCTTCTATTATTCCATAAAGATACGGTGTAGTGGTTGACCACTTTCTGCCTTGTTGATACCTCCACGCTGGCCAGTCTCACCTTCGACTTGGTGACCGCTAACAGCTTCCCGTTGGCCCACGAGTCGTCCGATCGTACTACATGACTATGCGCCGGCGGACGCGATCGACGGCGTACCTTTTAGACCACGTTAAAGGAACGTCCACGATGTATTCTTAGGGTTGCTCGTAAACATTGTGAGAACGAGGGCAGATGAGTCTTTTGAACCTTTAGTAGTTGCAGGATGTCGGGTAGATCCTAAGCCTGGTGAGCAATGTCGGTTCCTCGTTCGAGTCTAGTGGTTGTACAAGGCGTGTCACCTTGCAGTGACGGCTCTCGAGGTAGTTTGACACGTTGACATAGCATCAGACGGGTTCCTTATATTTTTGTGTCAGTTCGTCGGTACTCTCGCTTCACTACGGCTCGAAAACGAGTCATGCTGATTTCCCAAAATTCATAAACGTTGCCGGCGATGATCACTTCCACTCGCTAAAACGTCCCACTCGGTGGCCTTGTATCCACAAGCTGGTGATGCAAATGCTGCTCAGAACGTACCATATGCGTTTTCACACGGCGACGTGTGCGGCCATCTCGTCTGGTAAGCTGTACTGGACCACCTTGGATAGTCCTGGTGCGCGTCTGCTTGCACTGTTTGCAAGGAAACACTGAAGCCGTTTAAGCTCCCATCGTTCTCCTGTCCAGATAAGTCCCCTTCTGCGCCTCTTCCATCGTAACCTCCAAAAGCCCGATCTTCGTCAATATGCGCGAAACGAAATCATGCGAGGATTTAACCATGGCTTCATGCTGGTGTTCTTCAGCAGGATCAATCAGTTAAAATCCTATGCATCGCGTGGGACATGGCGATGTGATCTGAAGACGTAGTGGTGCATTGAAATGAGTAACACTACAAGATAAGCTGGTCTAGAATCAGAATATCTTCATGCTTCGCTAGCAGGTCGAAATATTTATATGGTATTGTTAAGTGTCGCTTAGTGTTCGAGATTTGCAGCGACTGAGTTCGATTCAGTTTCGGTCGCTTGACGATAAGATGTCGACAATGAAAGCATCAGCCGCCAGCATGTTGCTACAGAGTGCCGTAAATACAGTTGGATCTCAATAGAGGCACCTAAAATCTAGGACATACGACGTTAAACAAGCAGTATAGATTTAGTGATTCCACCATGGGACGCGTAAAGACAGCAATAACTCAAGCAAAGTGCGAAACCATCGTTTGGTAACCGTTCTAGTCATATGATGCTTCTACATGGAAGACACCTCGGATATATGGCTTGTTAATACGTTAATCATGGATCGATAAAAGTCAACAGAGTGTGTTAACGTGAGATAGCTCACAAAGTGAGGATATTTGAGTTGGGTTTAAGAAAAATAGATATGCAAACACTCCTCTCTTTATAAACTAGTGCATAAGGTCTATCACTCACGATAACAAGTCCCGATTGACGCTTATAGGTAAAGCAGCACGGGCTGGTCGCTCTGAAGGCGGTACTGCTCCGGGGGTTGCTCCGAATGCACTGAAAATGATACGGGGTTGTCATCGACAAAGAGACACTGAAGTACATCGAGGATCTCGTGGTCTGACACATTCACAGCCTGAGGGACACTGATGTTCTGCTCAGCAGCACTACTAGTCGTGGTGCTGCTTGTCGACCACGGAGAAATGTCGGAAATGGAAAGCGTGTTCGATCGAGTGAGAGAGGTGCGGAGTTGGGGCTGGGCAGCAGCACGAGCCGCAGCCGCAGCTCCAGGCGGGTGCTGCGTCCGCAAGTGACGCGTCAGATTACCAGCAGTACTGAAGGTCTTGCCACAGCCTTCTACGACACAGACGTGTGCGACGCTGCCAAGGTGGTTCTGAAGGTGGCGAGCAAGCTTCTCCGTCTTGGTGAAGATCCGCGTGCATCCCTCGACTGGACACTCAAGTTTCTTGAGCAGGTGAAGACGGCGATGGCGAGCAAGATTGCCAGACGTGCTAAAGCGCTTCGCACATGATCGGATCGAGCACTGGTACGGCTTTTCGCCCGTGTGGGTCTTCATGTGTTCACGCAGGGTGAACTTGCGTTGAAAACGACCATTGCATGACGGTACCGGGCATTGAAATGGGCGTTCGCGCTCCGGGGCGGCACGGGTAGCAGCAACGGTACTCTGGATAGGGTTCATGTTGTCGAGGAGAGTAGTTTTAAATAGCTTGATAAGTGCAGGAGGTCACGGACACTAAGGTCGCTGTGAGATGGAAGGCAAGTTTTAAAGTGAGCTCACACAGAGGCGCAGCTTTCTTCGGCTCCCTATCCGCAAGGAACCTTGCCCTGCCCTCGTCGGCGGCCAGTCCATTGACAGGCCTGTTACTGTCTCGCTGCTGTTGGTCCGCTATGACTTGAGCTGTACAACCAGGTGGCAAGTTTGTCTCGTCCGTGCGCCACGCCACGGCTTGAATAGTCTCGAGGCGGGATCCAAGACTGTTTGCCGTCAACGTGTAGAGAAAGCGCCTCGTCGTGTCGTCGAGCAAGTCGCACCGCGAATAAAAATGTTTAACCTGTTTAAGTGAGCGAGTGCAAGGCAGTAGTGCACTTGGATTTCGCATGTCCATAAAGGATCAACCGTGGAAAAGCCAGCACTGGCGCAAAGCAGCTCCTGCATTCGCGAAAGCCATGTGGGTCGTGCGCCAAAGGGTCGACCATCCTCATGGAAATCGATGGACGTTGTTTAGGTGATTGGAAGATGAATTGATCTCTATGGTGTAGGACATGTCTCGAATTCCGAGGAAGTAGCCGATATCGAGTAGTGTTCGATACCACGCATAGACTCTATCACGGGAGCATCGCGGTAAACACACGTAAACTACTATGAAAAAAGGCAATCCTGTCTACTCTGAGTCTCCGTACTAGTCTACTCCTCGATCTCCGTACTAGTCTACTCCTCGGTCTCCGTACTAGTCTACTCCTCGGTCTCCTTACTAGTCTACTCCTTGGTCTCCCGTACCAGTCAGTATGCACCCTAATCCAGCTCGACGTTACAGTCTCTGCACTTTTAGTTTGAAAGTTTCTAAGACCACATGCTCGATGACCTCACCGCCAGGTGGCTACACGGTAAACAGATGGCGTGCGCCACTCGAACGTCACGACGAACTATCGCGTCTATACAGCTTCCATGTCCGACCGATGTATGCTTTTAGTTTTCAAAAAAGTAGTGTGTTCAAGTTCAATGTTCATGATCGACTACTTGCGGCCATGTGTCACGTAAACGTGCAAGATATTGCACTAGAAGTTAGTCAATGATGGAGATATATCACTTTGTACCAATCTGCGACAACAAAATTGAGACCTTACGGCTGTAAATTGAGCAACACGCTTTCGTTGTGACAGCTTTGAAGCTCAACTACAACACTCTCCATTTTTTCAATCTTAGAAGATGCTCAAATGAATTGAATTCTGTGCGGGGCGCCATTAGGAAAGATGATGCTATCACACTGTATAGTAAAGGCCGTAGTTATCTGCGAAAACCACTTGCATCCTGCAGATGGTCTCGCGGCAGTGCGGCCGATTCGCCAATATTTCATCGTTTGGCTACACTCATTGTAACTGCCTGCCCTATAGTATCTTATAGACCACAAGGGCCTGCTGCTATCAATGATACGTTCCTTCCGCCAATGGCGAAATTCATATTCCTGCTGTTTGCACATATGATTACGACTCGTTCGAGCTGTCCCATTTCCAGGAGAGGCACGGGCAAATTCTTGGCCCGATAGCGCTCACAAACAGCCGAAGGATTCCCTTGCAAATCGTTCGTTCTTCTGATTGCGGTCAAAAATTTCGGTACGCTCATGGCATGCGTACTGTACATGTACCATGTGAGGAAATCTGCTGCTGTCTGATCGTAGCGGTAGCCAAATCACCAGCTGTGTGCTACATGTGCCACGTTTGAATAGGCGCTACGTTGCAACCAAAGACTTGTTCTTTGAGCTTTACTGAATAAATCCCTTAGCGGGATAGGCGCGATATTTTCCTGCACAATTGAACGAAAAGGATGGATTATGTATTGAAAACAACAAGCTGGTCAGTTCTAGGTAGAACTTCTACAGGTTTCGGGGAGGCAAACTGCCATGCGCGCATCAACATTCTTTTGAGTTGGGATTGGATCAATTCCTGATAGATATGCTGGAATTGCATTTTACCTACCCAAGATGAGTTGAAAAATGTATGTGTGCATTTTGAAGCTGTTGCAGCGTGCATTCAATATCAATGTTAGTTTGTATCATGAATTGTCCATTGAGTGAACAAGGTAGAGGTTTGTTTGCAAAGACTTTGGCTCTGTTGGTAGCCGCATGGATTGATAGTTTACGAATAACGGATGCCTACAATGTCGCTTTAGCTCTTCTAAACCACAGCCTAAAATTCGTATGTAGCAGTAAGGTACGGCGCATGCGAGTGTGAGTGTTGCGGAGCCCTATTTTCGCGCTGAAGGTCGAGCTTAGGGAGTCTGTCCCTAATAATGGAGACATTGTGGTGTCCTTGAGCTGCCGCTGCTGCAGCAGCTTGGGCGTTCTCAACAAACAAACAGTCGAATAAATCTTGCACGTCCGACTCCAAAATGCGTTGCTGAGGAGGGTGTTCAACAGGTGGTTGAGGTGACCAAAGTAGCCCTCGCATTGGAAGTGATCCCGTCGGAGGTGGAGCAATACGGCCTGGGAACTCAAACTTTGGACGTGGTAGCGTCGTCATTGGTCCCTGCAGTACAGGGACTACTTCCTGTCGAATCGATGGACCCGCACTGTGCTGCGTACGTCGGTGACGAGTGAGATTGCCAGCAGTACTGAAAGTCTTTCCACACCCAGAAAAGTCACACGTATGAGGTGTACGTGCAAGATGAACCTTTAAATGAGGCACCAGTTTTTCACGACTCGTAAAGACCCGCGTACAGTGTGCAGCTGGACAACTGATTTTTCGCATGGCATGAAGTTTCCGGTGACGCGCGAGATTCCCGGACGTACTAAAACGTTTTCCACATTCAGCAACGGGGCATTGATGTGGCTGCTCTCCCGTGTGGGTCTTGAGGTGTTCGTGCAATGTGAACTTGCGATGGAAACGTCCACCACAACTAGGCACAGGACAAGCAAAGGGGCGATCTTCTGATGGAGCTGCACGACGAGAAGTGGCCGTTCGGCGAGGGGCAGCACTTGTCGTGTCGTTGACCACGTTAGCACCATGAACGAGATTGGATACGGCACCGACGTTGTGATTGGCGTGAGTCGGGGGATCCTGATGTTGCTGGAAGTGGCCGGAAGTACAGCGTTGTAGATAAAACGGAGGGTCCCGCGTGTTTTCACTGAGCATGGCTTGCATTGGTACTATTGACGCTTGAGATCAATTGACGCGAATGTGGGGGGGAGAGAGAGAGAGATAGAGAGAGAGAACGTGAAGAGGGTGGACACGTAACGACGCTTGCGCTATTTGAACAGTGGCTCTCAAAAAAGCTGGTATGTTTGAGAATACAACAACGGAGCCCTAAGTCTGTTGGTGGCCTGACGCCGTCTGGTTTTTAGTAGCCAGTGGATAGGGCGACGACGTCGCTGAATTCGCTTGGAAGAATGGGACACATCAGATGCTTACATGATTATGGCATGGACTCAAGGCTTTGCTGGCTGTTTGTCATTGCTGCCCAGTCTGTCCAAAGCTCAGTTACGCAATGAGGATAGGGTGCTGCTGCTGGTCGGACACCATACAAATCAGCTTTTAGCCATCTGACACTGACACTGTCGCTAGATATACTACCGTAACGATGCTTCCTCTTTACAATATATATATGCGATGCCGCTCAACTTGACGTTCCCCACGTGATATTTATGATGCTTTTCGCTTGCACATCATGAAAGAGCCCGACAGCTGAATACCCATGGATAGACGATCGGCTCCCTTTCTTTCGTAGGATTTGCAGTCTTGATTGCATGGATCGACCTCGGCTTCGTCTGCGGACAAGCTCTTGTAAATAGTGGACAGACTAGTGGTTATGGTTGCTCTATTTGTTCTATCAAGAAACTTCTCTTTGCTTGCTTAATCGTCTCGAACAATTCCTTCGACAACTTTGACGGCCTCTGTCTTTTAAATAGCAAGTCACTTGACCTTGATCTAATATTGTTGGTCGTATATTCACCATCGTGTCTGCGAGCAATTCCTGGAGGCTCTGTCTGGACCAAGACAGCATGCTTTGCTACCGAGAGGAGAAATCCGATCTTTACTTGTCGAAATACCGCCGAAGCTCTGGTGCGTTTTATGGTTTAGCAAGTATTGTATCGCTCGCGAGGATAGTGCACTTCTTAATCGCAGAAGTTGCTGATTAAGTAGTGCACTGTCCTCGCGAGCTTCTTTGCAATAGGATAAAGGATAGATGCCAGGCAAGAGCATGGTGTGCCTTTACGATCGTACTGTAGTGCAATGCACGAACAATGGATCAAGTATAGCGACTGATAAACACAATGTACTCATGGCAGATATATTAGAAAGAGAGCTCTCTCAACAGATTGGCATACTTTCGTCATCTCACACCGTCGTGGAGAGACCTTACGGGTGATAGGCTCCGTAGAAGAACGGCACACTACGGATGATGCCACCTACTGCATGCAAGACGCCACGGCTGGATCGTTCGCAAAGAGGCAATCCAGGAGGTTCCGTACGTTTTGATCGGAGATGTGATGGCACTCGAATCTCGGTTGCATGGCAGTCAAGGCGACTTGCTGCAGACTATATACGGGCCTTGGTGAGTATGGCGCGACGATAACCAAAAAGTGCCTTGTCCGAATCGGTAGCCTTTACACAGGCAATTGACGCCGCTGTTGCTCGTGGAAGTGCACATTCTTCAACATCGGCGGCTGTCAAACAGCCTCAACTCCATCCCTCGGTGGTCGACAGAGTATTGCGTCACGTTCGACCGTGCCGAGTCAATTACTAGCAGTGCTGAATGTCGTGCCACAGCCTCCAATAGTGCATGTGTGCGGTGTGTTCGCGAAGTGAACCACAATGTAGATGATGAGCTTCTCACGACTCGGAATTCTCGTGAACAATGCGGTGTCGTAGGAGTGAGCTTGTAGATCGCATGCAGCTTTTGATGACGTGCCAGCTTTCCTGATGTGATGAAGCGCTTGCCACAGCCTTTGATAGGGCATTAGTGGGGTTAATCTCCCATGTGCGTCTTCATATGCCCGTGCAACGTGAACTTACGGTGAAAGTGACCGCTGCAAGTCGTGATAGGACATATGAACGGTCGCTCTTGAGAGGGTGGGGCCCGACGCGATTAGACAAGCCGATTCGGGAGGTAGTAGATGCCGTGATGGGATCACTGTTGGCTTGCATTGTTGAGAAGTATGCTAGCAGTATCTTGCGTGGATGACAGGTCACGAACCTAGCTGGCGAAAAGGGCAGCGTTGGATAAGGGGAGATTGGATCTCCTTACGGCACTAAATTTAGAATGGGAAGAACTTTCGCGAGCATCATCACTTGTTCTAAATGATCGACGGTTAAGGACGATGGTCACGAGACAACTATGCAAGCAACTGTATAATCAGTGCTACCGTGTCCCTCGGTTGAACAAGGTTAATGACAACTGATGGGTCAGTCAGAGACTCGTTTAGCGTTGGGTATGAATGCTAGTACTGTCGAGCTCCCCCCAGCTTCTTTTGCTCAAAAAGACGGAGGTGTTGTTCATTCGTGGCGACAGTCACTTAGACCATCCCGTCCCCCCAACGGAAGCGTATGCATGTAGAGTATCTTCAAAGATCGATCGGAGGGGGTTGCAATTCCGACGGATCAAGAGGCACATGCTTCTTGTTTGCATGGCATGCATCTCGTCATTTGTAAACGATTAAGGTGCCTCTAGTCATGTGTCGTTAGTTTTGATGGTGAAGCTTACGGCAAAGGAATTGCGAGCCGGGGACGTCTACCAACTCGAACGCAGAAAAAACCGGACGCATTGAGTGAGTGTAGACAGTCAATGGTCTTTCTGTAACTCGCACAAATTTTACGCTACACCGACTCGATGGCAGTTCCACACGACCAGCCGGATACACCCGAGCCCCGCGGAGAACGCAGCCGTTCTATAGATTCAGTCTTTGTGACGATTGCAACGTCCACTGCGTTAAAGACGCGGTTCTGACCAGATGTGTCAGAGTTCGTACATCGAGTGCTGTGATCGACTTGGTCTGTTCATTTGAATGCTCAGTGTTTGGGACAACGCACTGCGCCAAGCGAGAGCTTGTTACATGAATTGCACCGATTTGTGCGCGACAAAGAAACCATCCTCTAGCCTACGCAGCTAGCTTATCGATGTCCATCATTTCCTCTCTTTGGTATTTTGATCATCGAATCCGAAGCATGACAGTGCTAGTATGCATCGCGTGACAAGGAGATCTTCAAGGCAAATGAGCTCATCTCGACAAGTGTTCCGTCTCAAATCATATTGCCAGTTCTGATGGGTTTTACGATCCCGGCTCAGGCGTCACTACAATGACTTCAGAGCATCTCTATCGGTGGGGCACCAAAGGCAAATCCAGGGCTTGAGCTCAATAGCCTTGACATATCTGCTCCGTGCGATGTGATGATGATCAGACTGTCTTATGATTGTTTTAGATATGTCTAAGAGGAAATCCCCTGATCTTCTGCTATATCTACGTCGTTCTCCCATGCACTAGCTCATTCTACTGGCTCAATTCGATGGACTTCACGGGGGACAGTCCAAAACGGCACGTGGGACTGTCTGACAAAACCCGAGCACATGCAGAAGGCAGGAGATGCCTTCAAAGTAAGCCGGGTACCATAGCGGCTGCCCCAGACGGGCCAGCCTGACTGATCCTTGACAGCGGAGAGAAGGTCTACTCTTCAACCTTGGCCTCATGATAGGGGACTTCATGCCCAAGGTAAGAGGACCTGTGTGCCGTTTCTTTCGAGACCTCGCGTGGCCGTTGTTGCTCTGAAGCCCAGACTGGGAAATCCTGCGTGATATGTTGCTTATCTTGATGATAGAAAACAATTTACCTAGCGTCTTTGCCTGTATTGGCGGCATCCTATCTACAAATAGTTACTGCTATGAGAATCGATTACAACATTCCTCACCGTCGTCCTCTGAGTCGACGTCTGCTCTAGCTTGACTGTCTGACCACGATAATGGGCACCGTTGCGCTTGTCTTGAGCCACCTTGTGCATGATCGCAAGTAAGGCAACACAAGCCAGAGTAGCGGCAAAAACTGCTATTAGCATCGAAGGGCCAAAGAAATTGTCACCTTCCTCGTCGTTAACAGTCTCCGTGCAGCGGGGTCCAGTCCACGAGTCGGAAGCGCACTCACAACGGCCATCGGAATTGCACGTACCCGTAGTCACAGTAGACGAACCGCTACTCGCGATAGTGCAGTCATCACTAGACTTGCAGAACGCCATGCCCGAAACTTCTACCACCAAGTTGTCATCGTCCTGGTAGTCATCGACGTTGTCCTGAATCCACTGTTTTGTAGGATGTGTGGCCGGATCGCATCCGTAGGTCATCGAAGAGTCATCCGACAAGTCCTGGTATACGCGAATGTAGTCGATCTTCATGAACATCGGGAACGCATCGCAGATCGCGACTGTCGTCTTATCCGTACCGTCGCCGTAGCAACCACTTGAACCTGCATTGGGGGGCCTCGCTCCCCACGAGCTGGAGAGTGCAACGTTAAATATGACATACATTGGTTCTTCAACCATTAACTTCTTGGGGTTCATCTGGGCGGCGTCCTGTGGTGGGTTTGTGATTGCTTCCGATGGAATTTCAAAGATAGCTTGTCCTTCCACTTCCCAGCGGATATAGCCCGAGTCTCCCGTGACCCACTCGAGTGAGTACGTCACCCAATCGAGATAAGCAGCCATGTGCACTTCCCAATTCGAAGAAATGGCGTCCAGTCGGTACTCAAACACCGATTCAGCACTTGTTGAACCGCCCGACTGAGTACACTCTGATGCAGTATTACCGGCACTACACAGATACGAGCCCTTGTACGCGTTCTGCATCGGAAAGCATGTGCCATTCGAATTGATGCCCCAGCGTACTGTTCCATTGTCCTTAAAGCCCAAGTCAGCATTCACATCAAACGACGCCGGACACAAATCCATTGTGCACTTGTTCTCTCTAATACCCTTCGTTAAGGATGCGTTTATCAACGCGAAGCTCTGTACATCCTCGTTTTCCACATCGCACAAGTTGTTAGCGGCATAACGAAGTCCCTGATACCATGACTTGTGTCCACGTTGATCCCGGTAGTACTTGGTCGGGACGTCCTGGTGGTTGGCACCTGTTGTCGTACATTCATATCTATAGATACAAGCGCCCGATGAATCATCCACAAACGTCCGGAATTCGTCGGGCATACCCGGTCCCAATTGAATTGAGGATGAAATGTCAGTACCACCTCCTTCCAGAATATCAATCTCCGGAGCTCCACGTCCTTGATTAGGATGCATTCCAGACCCAGGATTGTCATCACAAGCACTGATTCTTTGATTTTGTGAGTCAAAGATAGTTTCATTGCATTCATTGTATGAGAACGGCCACATCCGAGCTGTGGAGCCCGTGAAAATAGCACGACCTAGATTCCCCATCAGCCAGATACCAGGCCACGTCGGGTAGTAGTCAATACTAGTTGCACGGACACTATTAGACCCGGTAGCAACGTCCGGATTGCCTGTTGCATTCGTGACTGCACCGGGCAATTGGGCTCGAACAGTAATCAGTCCCCCTTGAAAGCAGAATTTATTCCAGCCTTGCACCATAGCCGACCGATAGTAGAACGTAACATTCTCGAAGCCGGGGGGAGAAATATACTCGTTCCAGACTGTGAGATTCGTTTCATGGATATCCGATTCAATATATAAATAGCAATTGCCGTCGTCGTCGCACGCTGTCCCCGTCATATTGGGGTAGTAAATTTGTAGAGCAGCGTTTACTCCGTCGGGTTTGTCAATGGCCGTCCAAAGGTGATCCTTTCCAGCATCAAAACTGCGACCTTCGGTATTAAATTCGTCGCTCATGACGAGCGTCCAAGTGTCTCCGCGTGAGGTTCTGTGGCTCCGAGCTGGTGAGGACGTGGCCACATCCACCCAGGGCAAGACACCCGACTTGGTCGCATATGTTGTGATCGTCGTTGAAGTGACACAGGCGACCGTTAATGCTACGACGAAAACAAATGATCCGACACTTTTCCAGTGTGACACCATGATGGAGATATCTCGCTTTTATCGAGAGACTTTGTTGATAGCTGGTGAAACCAGAACTGGCTGAACCATGAGAGATCGTGCAACAAAAGCGAAGAGACACTTACTAGTCGACAGGTAGTCCAAACATTCAGTAAGTGGAGGTTAACTGCAGCGCCAGGCGAAAGTGGACGGTAATCTGACGGAGCTAAAGACGATGTCGCACGCAACCGTATCAGATTGAAAGTGAATTGTTACACCTTGAGAGGCGACGTCCACTGCGGAATGTTTAGGACTGTGAATCAAGATAGAGAATACCCTTTTTTCGCTGTTGCTAAAGATCGATTACATCCGACTTTACCAGGAGTTGGTTCGTGGTCCTACCCAACGAAGAAATGGATTTGAATCGAAAAGGCCGCTGGCAAGCACAGTTATGAAATGCACTTGCTGTAAACCGTCGTAATGGAGAACAAGAACACCTTCCAGTTAAGCAAAATCTAGACCGAGAACGTGCAATAACCCGAGAACGTGCAATAACCCGAGCACGCGCAACTTGAGCAGGTCAAACTTTCATCAACCGACAGACATCAGACGTTACTAAATTAACAGTTTTTTTAACGCCGGTTGTTACCTGCTTCGCGTAATAACGACTTTACGAGAATCCATCTTTAGAAGAGGACCAAAAGGATCTAACCGCTGAAAGTTCGGCGTCTGGTGTCGTACTGACTACAGTGACAGTGCCTTGGCTTCCTCTATCGAATAGCTATCAGTTAGTGACTTTGCTGCCGAGTTCTAGTACTCAAAAGACTTTATCGGAAGAGCTTATCGATGAAAGCTCAGATTAGAACGGACAATAACCTGTCACGAGACTCACTACGTAACCTTGCAGACAAAGTGTACGCGCACTTCTCATGCTTAAGTGCCAGTGAGTAGACATACCAGTCGATTTTCGTCAGATCTTTCAGCTGTGCTTTGAGTTTCGTCATTTAGACAGGTACATTGGGCTGGATTGCATGGTGGAACACCCGAAAACGGACACGTAAAGCGAATCCCGACATACAAGTCGTGCAAGCAAGTTTAGGCAAAGTAACATGTGAAATGATGAAATGCAACGTTTCCTCGACTGGGGAAGACGTGTCTCCGACTGGGGAAGTCGTAAGGTCAGTGTGCATGTCTTGTGCGTTTTCGAGCTATCTATCTGCCCATTGGTGTTAACTATGCAGAAGGATAAATTTCAATACAGGCTTGACCTACATTTGATCGGCATTAAGGAATTCGACAATCGCCATGAGTCAACTGATCCGCGGATTTGCACGGTAGTATTGGCAATGAAAATGGACGCAACACCTTGGCCTTTGTCAATCAAAAATGGTTATCGAACACCATCATCACCATCGTCTTGCAGTTGTTGTGACTATTGCATTCATTCAATACGCTATGTTTTGAACAGGACGTACTAGAACGCCATTTAAGGTCTCCTATCAATCAACTCTCAAGTAAATTCTGCTCACGGTCCGCCTCCAGTCGTTGAGACTGAACGACAGCACCAACAATTTCTTCAAACCAACGAAGTGTCTTCATTGGCAAAGAAGAGTCAGCTCTTCTGCCAGCGAGTAATATGACTCATGCTGGCTGCACCCCTGCCAGGCAAATCCCGTCGACATCAGAAAGCACTGCAACTATCCGGGATTCGCTGCGCATGTGACGCAATGCAACCGAACAGAACTCCAAAAGTGGCCGTTTGAACATGTACCTTGGCTCACTGTTTTACAAAAAAGAAATTGCTCTTGCTCCTTGCTCGACACTTTGTAGGAAGCCGTAGATTGGCTAGTACATGCCAAATGACGAGCGCTTCAAAGTTTGTGCCGCTTCGTAAATTGTCTGTGTCTGTAATCTAGCTCCCAAAGCTACGGGCTTGGTGCACGGAGAGCATTGTAGTGAGTGTGAACCATGTAGCCGTGACCATACGATGGTTAAGCAATAGGTAAAGCGCTAAGCAGCACAGCCCCAAATTGAAAGCTATGCCCGGCACCACCGAGCTCCACATAGGAAGCTTCTGCCGCACATATGGCTTACCGTCAAACGCGCCAGTCTCGTAAAAATGCCGGAGACGTTCCTCCTTCTCTGCAAAGCGGTCCTTGAGCCTAATTTCTCACACGATAGTCAGTGAATAAACAAACGTTACGAAAACACTTGCAGTTTTGATTCCAACGCACCACCAATCCATGTGTTCCTTGTGCTTTGCTAACGCTGACCGATGATATCGTTTCACGTGCATGTGCACCTCCATCGGGTACTGTCCTTTAGCGAATCGCATCGGAGACGGTCGAATTCCATCCATGAGCTCTGGGTATGCAATTGTAAGATCCACGACGTACTCTGGATCCAGCTTCTCCATGCACAATTTGAATCCTTTGACTCTTGGCTGCAAGACAAAGTTCCAAGTACTTTTTCCCTGTTTCACAGCAAAGTCGCGACTTTTTTGTAGCGTCTTGTCATATAACGCCGTTCCTTCTGGGAACATCGCCAGCCATGAGCCCATATCCACTTCCTTGTACGACGCAATGAAATTAGTCAATCTCTTCTGGTCCGTACTCCAGTTTCGATTGATGTACGGGTATTCGAGCAACATCATGGCCCACCCCACACCGGGACCGTGTCGAATCACACTCTTCATTATGATACGGATACGGTCGTGCACACCAAGTCGTAGAGCTAGGTTCCAAAGAAAGATCCAATCCACTTCACTGCGGTGATTACATATTAGCAGTACGTGGTCTTGGGGTTGAAACTGCAGTTCCTCGTCCCCCGTCACGACGAGTCGGACGCCTCCCACAAGTTCCAATAAACCACTCGACATGGAGAAGAATTTATCTTCTAAAAAGCAAAACACTGGGCGAATAGTACGGATCGACAGATTGCAACACCGACGCAGCAACGTTAATGGCCACAAAATCAAGGCGACGTTCAGAAACGCGCACGTGACCAAAAGAATCAAATAACTGCAGCCAATGATACATCCAAACCACGTCACACACGCCTCAAACTTAGCGTTCGGGTGCACGGCGCGATGAAGCATGGACTTGACATCCGGCTTCGATTCGGAGGTGAAGCTAGTGCTAATTGGTTTGCATTCTGGATGAGTGACTCGGTTTCGATGCATGATCAGAGGCAGTTGGTGGCTCAGCGTACGTTACGTTTTTGAGTTTATTTTGCGTCGTCAGGAGTGGAACGAGCGGTGAGAAACGGCGTAAAAGACCATAAAGTTAATGGGTTCCAGCTTGACATTGTCATATCTTTCGTTTAATAAAGTGAAGAATCGAGTAGAATAGACAGAACGAGAATATTGAGACTTTGCATCGCAGTAGCGCGTTCACAGACAGTCGGAATAGCTTCATGGTGTTTTTAGAGATAAATTTGCATACGAGAGCACGCTTTATTGTGCAAAGTACAATAGAATTGGCGAAACCGTGCTTCGACAGGTAGTCCTTCACTTAAATCGCTTCAAGTTTACTGAGATCGTTGCGTTTCTTGAAGGTCTCAACATGGAATGTGTGCATGTTGGCACTATGGACTTGTATCATTCGTATTAGGCGAGCCCTGATCGCCTCGTATCCACCTTGGTTCTATTTCTTTGGCTTACTCCCAACAGGGAAATAACGAAAAGCATAGTACTTCATCTGACCCACACACTTGTCAATTATCGTATCGACTGCCTCGATACCGTCAATTTGAATACGTCAGGACCTATCTAAGGGTGCACTGTGTCGAAGTGTTGACATTATATTTTGGCTGAGTCCACTAATTACATACAAGTACCATTATTGTGATGATAGAGTTAGAGGAGAGCTTCATAAGCACTCGAAACGTCTGCTAAGAGCAACCCCAATGTGCACATTGTATCGGCTAGCATTCCTTCTGTGTGGCACGTATTATTTCGTGTAGTGCTGCTCGTATATATAGTACTTTTGCACGACTCAGATACCTATGACTACTACTAAAATAGGTCTTTTATCCATATAATATTTGCGTACTTCATGCTAATTTGTACTCATTTACTAAATTACATGTAATGTTAAATAAATTACGTTACAGATTCTTTAATTCTTAGCTTTTTACAGCTAAAATACCGTCAAAAAAAGATGAGAGTAGGGATTGTGAAAAGTGGGGGATCGTATTACATTTAAAAGGACTGCGACATGGCTGTGTACGTCTCACTTTTTTTGCCTAAAATTGATGAAGCTCAAGCGTAGATGGCTTCACTGAAGATATAGATGTTGTACGCGACGCAGTAGCTGAGCGACAAAAAGAATGCAGCAGCAGTGAGAGCACTGGCGCTATTGGTAAAGCCTCCATACATACGCACGAGTTGCGCGTCTAACTTTTGCAGTGGCAAGATCGGAATGGCTACAAACGCCAAGCTGTTGACGCAGCACGTTCCAATGGCGAGGATTGCGATGGACCAGCGCCAATGTATCATGTCTATATCATTGCTGGATGGAAAATACGACGTACGCTGGATTGTCGTAAGTAATGTGCTCACAAAGATCTTGAACATGGTGTTAAATGAGAGCGCAAGTCCAACAACGCCGCCTTCTGAGCCCTCTTCAATAATCTCAGTGACTGGAGCTAACAGTAAAAGTGCCATGACTCCTAAAGCGACTCCTGTCAATCCACTCAGCACAATATATACGACTGGACTACGACACAGCGCTGGAATGATCAGCCCCGCCATCAGAATTTGAGGTGCAATGGTCATTATCGGAGCCATGGCAAAGATTTTTTTCCACAAAATGTTCCGAAGTTTCCATCGCCATACAAACACCGTAAGAACCATCACCAAGTCACTCAAGGTACTAGTAATTAGCTTTGAGACATGATCCGTTGTCTGTGTCCATTCTCTTAGTGCCTGTGATACAAGTGGAAAGCCAAAGTTGAGAAAAAAAGCAAAGCTGGCAATGACGATTAAGCTCCTCCATACCGCCTTTTGTTTCGTGAGTTTCCAGTAACTCTCACATTTGCATCGAAGACTTTCTTTCTGATGTACTGATGGTTCATCAAGTGTCGTGAGTACGACAATAATCGTCGAAATTGACAAGACCATTAACACGAGTAAAACCAGTGACGTATTGAACGTTCCGACAATGTTCTGGATCAAATAGACGAGTAATCTGGCGGAAATCTGTCCTGTCGCTCGAGCGATTAAATAATCAGCTTGAAAAACGCCTCGTTTTTCTAAACTTTCACATTGCGATAGTGTCACGACCGCCGTATGAACGGAACAAAAGTTAATCATTGATCCAAAGCTCACTCCGCCCATTAAGAGCATCATAATGTAGTGAAATGTCTTGCCCATGGTTTGATTAAACTCCGTAGCCAAGAGACTTCCAAGTCCAAGCAGGCCCAAGCACAACAGACTCAATGATAGACCAATAATCATGTATGACTTGCGACGAGAGCCAAAAACAGGCACTGCATCGGCATACAGTCCTACAAAGAAAGCCATGGCTGCTGGTACTTCTACAAGCCGATTCATAGCTTCCGTTTGGGCTTCATTAAGCTGTAATTTATTGCTTATCATAGGTAAAAGACCGAAACGAGCACCAGTGTAGATGAAAGATGACGTAAACGTAGCCGCTACAAGACCTAGAAAAGTCATGGAAAAGAACTGAACCAATTTACCAGGACGTAAACCACCATACATGTCATAATTGTAAAAATCTGGACCAGCAACAAAGCGATTCATGCTCATAACGGCAGTGCGGTCCTTCGTGTCAGTGTGTCTGGGGGTCATGGTGGAGAAAGGCAACATGAAACCCAAGAGGTGAAATTATGAGATAAGAAAGGTTCCGACAGGGTGGAATACAATCAAACAACACATGGGTGATTTCTTTTTCCATGCTGTCGATATTGTATCCACTTTATGTACATAGATAGAGTTTAGACTTCAGAGACAAAGGCGCCCATAATCATCCATTTATTTACCCAGTCAAGTAATGATGTTACTAGGCTACACCAAAAGTGACGACAGCGCGACAGCAGGAAAATAGACAAGTTCGAACGCTGCTGACCACGAAAAAGCTAGTGCTGACTCACCACCTTGTAGATACGTTCTTGGTTTTTGTTACGTTTCGTAAACAAGATTGTTAGATAATGTCTATACATGCTCGCAATGCAAAGTACTTTGTGCTACAGATATGTTTAAAGTTGAATGAAGATGAGAAGAATAACTAAAGTATGGTAGGTACATGTAGCGGATACTGGCTTTTACAAACAAAGATACAGCTTTCAAAAGCTGCGGACGATGCTAAAACTATTGAAGACGATGTTTTGGAGGAACTGATGCTGAACCAGACGGATCCAGAGAACCCGGGCCGAGCATTCTCTGAGGATTCTGTAGCTAAAGAAAGGCTATTACGGCGCGATAGGAATTCTATTAAAGACAACTAACTAACTATGGAGAAGATGCCAGGCCGAGACTTTTATCGACACTACAATCAGCACTTGAATGAATGCGTGAATCGCATTTTACGCACAACAACAAATCCGAAAAGATGAAACGTATGATGGCCAAGGAAAAGCTTGTTAAGCCGTATACTGAAGTAGTTGGAGGTGCTACAATACCTAGCATTGACACTTAACTGATCATTGGGTAGTCAGCACTATTGTCGGAGCGTGTACAGCAATTTGAAATCAGCTGTGTTAAAAGAAGCTTTTGTGCTACATATCAAAGGCGATTCGGATAATGCATACCCTGCATATACGTGAAAATGGATTCTAGAACTGAGACAGATCCTGCTGGGAAGGTTGCTAACATTGGCAGTTGCTATACCATCACTCGGCACTTCATGAAATACAAGCTTTACAAATTGGGATACATCCTGTCATCAGTACTTCAAGAAAATCCCCGTGTGTTGTGCACATTGCTCCATCGTGAAGAGCGCAGTAAACTAGAACTAATAATACAATCGGTAGATCGATACGATCTTGGTTTGAGTTGTAGTGTTCCGTAGGATTTAAACGAGTTAGCGTTGATCCTCGGACACTGTTTCCGCCAGTTCCACCTCCGGACACACTGCTCTTATCTGAACCGCGCACAAAGCGCTTCCAGCTCAACTGATCGTTCGTGTCATCGGTAGATTCGAATCGTCTTAGGAGCAGATTCTAGCTCAAGTTTACGGTGGGCATCATACAAACCAATAAGAAGAAACTTTGACCAGCGTTTCAGGATCGCACGAAGTGGATCACCTACTATTGTAGTCGCTGAAAGCTGCCTCTAGCTTCATGATGCCGTGCTGCGACCGACTTCCTGGATATCGAACCTGGAATTGTATTCTTTATGGTAAGTGCATGCACATGGCAGAATGGTCATGGGTGTACTATTCCAGAATAATAGCCGTACAATTCAGCTTCAGCTTCAACGTTAACTCAATGTGCTTTTCATGATCGCAGTGCTGCTTCCCCGACGAAGCCGTAGTGACACTTACTTCATATATTAGGTGACGTGGTGGGTACGGTAATCTAATTGTGCGGATAGTGACAAACAGCTCGACTTTTCAGGTCAGTCGTGCCCTTTCAAGTCGAGCAAAAACACAATTTGAGGCCGCAAAGTGGCGACTTTGCACGACTAATAGCCACCCAACAAGACGGATGGTCCGTCAGTTACACCTTTCGAATGGTTTGTCGTCAGCTTATGACTCCGTCTATGAAGCACCTAAGTTGCATACAGGCTGTCTTCAAATTTATGGACAGCGATGAGATCTGAAGTCGAGCTGCTGTATGCAGAACACCACAAAGATGAAGATGTATCACGCACTTGCACACTAGGAAGCCACGTCGCAACACTCAGTTACCTCGCGACCTCGTGTCAGCATCAATTGTATCAATGCGTCATCTCGTGTCTTTCGTGACATTATTCGGTTCGTACGTGATGGCAGCAAGTGGAAATGAATATCCTACAAAATCTGGCATCAAAGCGTGGGTAGACCCAGCGACGCCAGACAATGCACAGCAGATTACGACGTCTCGAGGAGAGACTTGGCAGCTCGTTATGAGTGACGAATTTAACACAGCAAATCGAAGCTTTCGACCTGGTGACGACCATATTTGGACATCGATTCAAAAACCCGATGGCGTGAATGGTGCCCTCGAAGTTTACTCGCACAACATGACCTCGACCAAATGTGACGACGACGGTACCTGCTATTTCTACATTGAAGCCATCGATGAAGTGACTAATATTACCGTGTACAACGCCTATCTCCAACCACCCGCGTATGAGAATGTGCCCTTCTACTACAGGGCAGCTATGGTTCAGTCGTGGAATAAATTTTGTTACCAAGGTGGTCTAGTAGAAGTCAGAGCGCAGCTACCTGGAGCAGTATCAAAGAAGTCTGGCAACCCAGATCTTGCTCTTGGCAAATCTGGACGAGTGGCAACTGGGAAATACTACCCGACATGGCCAGGTATTTGGATGATGGGAAACCTAGGTCGTGCCATCTTCTCGGCGTCTACGAGTCGGATGTGGCCATTTTCCTATAACAAGTGCGAGCCAAACTTGTTTGACCCCACGAACCAGCGCATTAGTGCGTGTGATGACGATCCAGGATACGGTCTCAACAAGAATCAGGGTCGGGGTGCGCCTGAAATTGATATCCTGGAAGGAGGGGGTCTAGCAATCTCGTCGTCGTTGCAGATTGCTCCTGGAATGCCAAACGACTTCAGACTTTTTCCTGCAGCAGGAGAGTACGATGCAAAGGATATGGTCTGCGTCTACAAGTATAGTTGTGAGACTCCTGGCGCGAATATTGTCGATATACCCACCGCATACTACAAGCAGAAACGAGGCCATAAGTCGTGGTACCAAGGACTTCGGTATGCCTCCAACAACTTTTGCGGCTCGTCAGCTGATGAAACACAGAATGTTGCCAAGATCAAAGCATCACTGAAAGCTGGAATTAAAGACAACACTTGCACTAGCAGTCTCTGCCCAGCGTCATTTGATCCTAACAGTAACCTGGATTTAATCGACGGAGTCGGAAAGGATTACTGGGGAATTAATACGAATGGTACGTGTTTCCCACTGATGAACTCGTATATGGGCGCGTTCTTGTGTGATCCGGACAACACAGACAAGAAATGTATTACGCCTCGCAACTCTTCTACACCAAAAACAAACTCCATGGAGCCTTTCAGCTACCAAATGGATGCTATCTCAGCAAATTGGCCTGTGCATTTAGGTGCGTATACGGACTACTTTCTATACCAAGTCGAGTGGGTCACAGGTAAGAATGGGTACGTGCGTTGGATGGGAGCCGGCCAACCTCTTTTTGAAGTCACAGCTGAGGCCTTATCGGTCGTCCCGCAGAATGGCAAGAAAAATAACCCGCAGAAGCTCATGCTAGAGGAACCAATGGTTATTATTTTCAATGTGGCATTGTCGCGTTCATGGGGCACCGTGCCTCCAAACCCCGGAAGTGAATGTCGTGGCAACAAAAGTGATGAAAAGGTCAACAAAATTTGCGATGAGTTCCCAATGTTCATGAAGATTGACTACATCCGGCTTTATCAAGACTCGAAGGGGAATCGTGGTGATGATGATTATATGCAGCTCGGCTGCGATCCGGCTAGTCACCCGACACGAGAATGGATTCAAGGTCACTTGGATGAGTATGAAGATATCGACAATCCGTGGACAGAGGTGTCAGGAAAAGCATTCTGTGATACTGACGATGACTGCACGATCAGCCGCAATGGCACGCAAAAAAAGTTGGTCACTGGTAGATGTGTGAAATCCCGATGCAGCTGCACATACCCAGATTCATGGGGTGGACCTCGGTGCACGTTGGTAGTCACTGAAGAGTTAACTAGTGCAACTTCCATGACCAAGCGCGTCTATGGCCCTCCGATGGCAATCTCGGTCGGTGTAGCATTTCTTACGCTTTTTTCTACCATTATCGCAGCCTGGATGTCCATCGGAACATTAAAGAAACAGGCCGATGAAGCCATCGAGGCCGCGGAGGAGAAAAAGTTGAGAGGATCAGTTCCAACACGCTTGAACTCATCTGTATACGAGTTTGACGCATCGCAGCCTAAGGACAACTACAGCCAAAACTTCCTGTAGCTAGCTCTTCTCAATAAATTATACATTAGTGGTTATCGTGACCTGCGCCGTAACTGATGGTAACTCGCCACCTCATGAAGTTAACGTGAGATTCGATGTACATGAAGACAATCTATCTACAACCAAAGATAATAAGATACATTTTGACGACCAACTGAACGAATCTTGTCCGTTATTTCTCTAAACACATTGGAGATTCCAGCGGTTTTTACTAGCCACGTACCAAAATACATTTTTTATTCTCGACACCTGTTAGTCTTATCTTAGATTTCCAGGAACTTGGTTTTTCTCGATCATGCATTTCTCGATTTAGCACACACTGATGCGACTTGAGCAATTGGCTGTAGTCGTGATTTTGGTGGCGACAGCGACGATCGTCACTGCTAAGAATGCAACGATATCAGACGGAACACACCCAACGAAGTCGGGCATCAAGGTTTGGGTCGATCCGGCGACACCCGACAATCGCCAGACTTACACCAGTTCACGTGGTCGAAAATGGCATCTCGTGATGAGTGACGAGTTTAATACGCCAAATCGAAGTTTTCGGCCGGGCGATGACCATATTTGGACCTCTTTGGAGAAACCGGACGGTGTCAATGGTGCACTCGAGCTCTACGCGCACAACATGACATCTACTAGATGTGATGATGACGGCACGTGCTATTTTTTCATCGAGGCAGTAGATGAATTGAATATCATTCGCGTCTACAACATGTACAAGCATCCACCAGGACTTGTTGATGTTCCCTTCTACTACCGTGCGGGAATGGTGCAGTCGTGGAACAAGTTTTGTTATCAAGGTGGTATGCTTGAGGTACGAGCACAATTGCCAGGAGCAGTGACAAAGGAGTCTGGAAACCCAGATCTTGCAAAAGGGAATAGTGGTAAGGTCAGAGCACGCAAATACTACCCAACGTGGCCTGGTATTTGGATGCTAGGAAATCTCGGACGAGCCATCTTCTCCGCCTCCACAAATCGGATGTGGCCTTTTTCGTACGATGCGTGTGAGCCCGACTTGCTGGATCCGAAATCTCAGCGCATTAGTGCTTGCAATGACAATCCTGGATACGGTCTGAACCCCAATCAAGGTCGAGGTGCTCCTGAAATTGACATTCTTGAAGGCGCAGCGGATTTGATTTCGTCGTCGATTCAAATTGCTCCAGGAATGCCTTATGAATACCGTATGATGGGCATTGATACATCCCAAGATCATCCTTCGTGTATCTACACTTCGACTTGCAACACGAAAGGCGGGAACTTTATAGGTGTACCAACCGCGATCTATAAGGCTCGCGGCTACAAGTCTTGGTATCAGGGCCTGCGTTACGCTGCAAATAATTTTTGCGCACCTGATTCCAAAGCAAAACAGGAGTACGCCACAATCGCTACATCGGTGAAGGCTGGCGTTACCGCGAATATTTGCTCAGTCGACACTTGTCCTGCTTCGAACGATGTGTACGGAGACTTGGGTCTCATTGACGGCAGTGGGAAAACTCGCTGGGGTATAAATGATAATGGCACGTGTTACCCGTTGTACAACGTCTACACCGGTACGTACCTCTGTGATCCTGACAATACGTATTCGAAATGCGCGAAGCCGCGAGACGAGAAGACGCCGAAATCCAATATAATGAGCTCGTTCCACTACCAAATGGATGCCATCTCCGCCAATTGGCCTACGCATGTCGGTCTTTATACTGAGTTTGTCGTTTATCAGCTCGAATGGGTGACAGGCAAGAATGGATATACTCGATGGATGCTAGAGGGCAATCCGTTGTATGAGATTTCATCCAAGTCCATTGTAGACGTCCCTCAAAATTCCAAAAAAACGAATCCGCAAAAGATAATGGTGGAAGAACCGCTTTACATTATTTTCAATGTAGCGTTGTCAAGCACTTGGGGTATAACACCTCCAAATGTAGGCAAAGAGTGTCGCGGCGATGGTTCTGACGAAGTGGTCAACAAGATCTGCGACTCTTTTCCGATGTATATGAAAGTGGACTACATGCGGCTATACCAAGACCTCGGAGACGATCTTGACGCTGACAACTACATGCAAGTTGGTTGCGATCCAGCCAGCCACCCAACTAAGGAGTGGATCGAGGGACACATTGATGAATATGAAGACAACAACAATATGCACAAGGAGGTATCCGGCAAGGCATTCTGTACCATCGATGACGACTGCTCAGTCGGCGGATCTTTGGGCAAAAATACGATGAAGACAGGCAAATGCGTGAAGTCGCGTTGTGAGTGCATATACTCCTTTTCATGGGGCGGACCACGGTGCACAACTGCCATATCGTCCAGTTCTTCCAGCACGACCAAGACATTTACCTCAGCAAATCCGTATGGTCCTTCACTGGAACTATCCATTGGCGTCGCTGCATTGTTAATCTTCTTGAGCTTCGCTTCCGTGATATGGTCCATTAAGAAGAAAAATGAGAACGACTTGAAGCTTAAGAGACAAAAACTTGATGCATGATATCTCGAGCATTCATAAAAGACGTGCATTTTGAGAACTTCATATGATCATCGGACATATCTTTGTATAACGAGCGATAACAACTACAATCAAGTATTGCTTAACAAAATACGATTTGGATTCATGAAGGTGTTATACAAAATTAAAAGTTGTAGTTGTCTTTGAAAAAACTTTGCTATGAAAACATTTGTGTCTCGATTAACGGGAAGTCTCCCGGCTTACCCATGATAAGTTAAATCGACGATGACATAGTAACAAAATACCATATCGATGGCCGGAACACCAAGGTCATGGATGTTTTCTTTCATACGCGAGTCGTCGTAGTCATTGATGCACTGATTTTGCGAGAGTCACATATGATCCATGAAGCGACAGTGATTACAACAGTTCTCGAACTGCCAATATTGACTCCCACCTGACTTGGCTCATGATAACCTTGATCGAGTCTTTCAAGGGTGTAGCCGTATACGTACGACAACGTAACGATATTATTTTCTCTATTCGTTTCAGTAAGGACGTAAGTAGATATAGTTAGAAGTTTGTTGCTTACCTAGCGGCTAGTGCCTGCAAAAAGGTTTGCCTCCGGGACGGATGACTCGTGCCACGATCGGGAACTCACGAAATAGGGTGATCACCGTCCTACGTCAATGCCGGTACTTGCGCGACTCCGAATGCTTAACTATGTTAAGGCTCAGCGACTAGTTACAGGTAAGACCGTGGTCACAAGTCTTGGTACGAGGGTCTGCGTACCTCTGTAAACTGAACGCCGATGCAAACCATTACTTCATCTGTAAAGGTGAAGGTGCAGAAAATACATGCTTGACAAAGTTTTGTCCTACTTAACAGTCTCAATAATGACTTAAGTCTCCTCAATTGCAAGGGTAAGAATCACTGGACTCATGAACACTTAGAGCACTTAGTGCCTCCTTTCGCGGCTAGAGACTCCCTGTGTGATCCCGACAACAAATCTTCCGAGCAAGTCAGCCCTCAAACGAGACAATGACTCCCAAGTCGAGTGTCATAAGTTCTTTCACAAACTTGACACGTTAGAGATCACGTACATCAGCTTCTCCAGCATCCAATTCTGCCTGTAGTTAAAATACATCCGACTATGCTAACACTTGCCAACAAGTACGGCTGTGACGCTGCGATGAAAAAATGGATTGATGCTCACATTACTATCAGTACAACGTTGTTGGCAATCATTCATTCCCAAAATACGGCATGCATCCGGCTTTCGTCGCCGAACTTGAAGGGATGACGACACGAGGATTGAAACCCACACTTGAGGTATTTCAATTGCAGTGGCATCACGGCCTTGGTGCTGAATGATCTCATAGCCCGTTTGTCTTTACAAGCACTAGCTTAAGCTTAGAGGTCGAATTTACATTTGTCTTATGAGGGATGACCATATGCGGCTTGTTAGTGTCCGCCAAAAGCTCGGCTATCATTAATCATTTGGAAAACCACGTTGGGTAGCACCGCATCCGTAACTGCCCTTCAATTACCAAATGATTGCGACGACGCTAAGACTACGCCCTCGTCTTGGTATCGAAACTTATCATATGCTTGCATGATCGCCGCGCGGCAAAAGAAGTGGGCGTCGACAATCCCAGAAGAAGGGGGGGTTGTACATGTTGTAAACGTGGATACGATCAGTTCCACGTACTCTTATCATTTTAGCATATATGCGTGTACGTGAACTGGTCGATTGCGTAAATTGATGTATTTTTTTTAGGTTCAGCCGGTTCATTTAGTTTTTCTAACGACCTAATACTGTAACGGGGTTACACGACGGTTGTAACATCATTCCGAAAGTTCACGGTTTAAGTACCCTTTTATTGCATATAATGCATTCTTGATACTTCTCTTTAGAGAGGTATAAAGTATGGCGTTAAAATACGGTATTCGGTAATACCGTATCCTATCGATTAGGATTCGATAATCGATATCGTTGTACTAAGTACATCATACACAGATGTTTAGACGATACGTCGTCCAATAACAAAGTCTGTATGTTATACCTACTGTTATAGTAATTAATCTAGTGTAGTGTACTTAAAGTAAGACTATTCATAAAATCTTAAAGCATAAATATAATCAGTTCTCATTTTGAGTTTAAGATCGCAAGTCGTTCTGACTTGTTCTCTTGTGCACTTCGTGCGTTGGTTCTCTGAACCTTTAAGCTTCTAGCTTGTTCTTGCACTCTGTGCGTTGGTTCGCTGAACCTTAAGCTTATTGCTTGTATACTAAAAGTCTATTTCCTCGTTCCTTAGAACAGGAAGACTTTAAGTCGTTTAATTAGTTCCTTAGAACTAAGAGGCTTTTAGCCTTAACTCTATTTAGTTCTATAGAACTAAGAGGCTTCCAGCCTAAAAGTCTTCCTCTGACTAAAGAGCTGTGTAGCTCCGGTACATATAGTGCCGTTGAAATGCATGTTGTAGACCTGATAAGAGAGGCTAAAACCACATATATTTTACTTTTGCTTTTACCCACTTTTTAACATGTGCAATAACTCCTCCAATTTTTTCAGGTTATGAGCCCAACGAACTTGTTAACGGCGCAGCTCAGAGTGCTATAGCCGCTGTGGGGTCGACGGTCAAGACACGATAAACGAATGCCGATTGAAAAAACGTTCAGCAGTGCCAGCCGCGGCGCTAGAAAAAGATGCTCGCCATACTTGGTGACTTGTCGGAACGAATGGGGAGTCAAGAACTTTTAATTCGGTTTTAGGATCACGGCAGGCAGTATCCTGCAGGCTCTAGAGCGTATTTGTAATGGGCTACATTACACATAGTATTAACATGAATAAACATTTACATATGTAGACAGGTGCTGGGCCCGAATAGCGGGCACAGCGTGGCAACTTTTATTGGTTTATTATTGGGGCCTAAAGTCCCAATATGGACCTATACTAAATTAAACTGAAATTGTGTGGTTCCTGAAAGGCGGGAACACCGTCGTATTTATTACGACTAAAATCTTCGTAATAGTACGAATTAAAACCAAAATAAAATCAGGTTAAATTTACTTAACACCTAAAACTTGGGCTTAAGTCTTCCTCAAGAGCGCGTGTAAACTAGTGACGGTACGTTCTAGCCCCGTAACACCTGGTAGCACTTCGTAGTCCTTCCTACGCCCGAGTTTAGGATGAGCAAATCGTCGTACTTTGACCCTCCAGATTTATTTCTAGAGCACGCGACCTTCTTTCATCTCACTGGTGCTGAGTGGGATGCCCTTAATCACCTCGCGGCGATATCGGGAGAGGCATTCGTCGCGTCGCTGATGAGATCAGCGACCCCTGAAGCGCATGGTCTCGCCATACATGAGTTTATGGCACGCGAGCTCGCCGAGTCCAACCGGCGAGGTTTAACTCTCTCGCGACCATCACGTAAGGAGTCCGTGAAGATGGAAACCTCCTACTTTGCAAGAGAAGGTAAGAATTGGTTGTCGCTGAATCGGTGGTTCCGAGAAGTCGGCATCGCCATCGCCTCGAAGCTTCTCGAGACGCCTTAGGCACAGGTAAACCTCCTCCTTTCCAGTCTCACCGGGAAAGCCAAGGAACGGGCCCTTGGTAAGCTCGTCGTGGACTATCACGCGCTCCTCACCCTAAATAAAATCCAGGACGATCTTCGTCTTTCCTTCAAGCCACCGCAAGAGGAGAAATTGGTACGCTCAAGATTCCTGTCGATGCGACAGGGTAAAATGGCGATGCGCGACTACGTGCAACTTTCTCGGCATCTGGCTTCGTGTATCATCACACATGTATACGCAGGTGAATGTCTTTGTATATGGTATGCGTGAGGGGTAGATCCGCTTATAGCTGGAGCGCGCGGAGCCTGCCACATTGGAGGAGGAAATTGCTATTGCACTCCGTGAGGACTTTAGGGTACAAAGGCCTATGCCAAACTCTCGGTCGTCACCGTTTCCCGGCCTTCTGGATCGGAACCTATGAAGATCGACGTGATTGAGTCGTCGGGTGACCGACGACGTGTCATTTCCCATAAGGGTGACGCTCTCAACGGGCGTCAAATGGTTTGCTTTCGTTGTTGCAAGCCAGGGCATCGCGCGGCTGAGTGTCGTGCGCCAGCGCCGATATCGGTGCAAGTAATGGATGCCCATCATGAGGGTGCTTTACCGGCCGCACGTACAAAAAACGGTCGGGATCAGTAGGTGCAGGGCGCGTTACTGGTTGGAACGGAGGTCCGGGTCCCCCGGTGGCATCTCAACCTTCTAGGCCTCCTGCGCTACGCGCACAGTTAAATGCCACCACTACGAGTGGTGATTCACGTCTGATTATTGTCAGTTTACATGTCGCCGGCGTCCGGCGACCTCTGCGAGCACTCCTGGACTCAGGAGCAACGAAAAAATTCTTTCGTAAATCTTGTTTATCGATGCTGCCTCCCAGCATTCAGGTCCGTGAGGGACCTGGCCAAGTCGCCGTTAAGTCGGCTGACGGGAAACCACACCGCGTATCGCGGCGCGAAGTGTCGTTGCCGTACACGTTTGATGTTTTTCGCATTAATGATGATTTCTTGATGATTGCGATGAATAATGCATTCGATTGCACACTGGGCATGCCATGGTTGGCCGTTATAAGCCCCAGATCGACTGGTTAGCCAGATCAGTGAGACGTCGACGCAAGTTCGATGTCAGTAAAGTGTTTACTATCTCTTGTTATTTTTAGGTGATTGGTCGAACGTCAAAGTCGTGAATCTTGATTACACGACGCTGGCGGTGCACAGAGCGAGCGATGGCCATCTCTGAACTGCTTGTGCTGTTCTTCGAGACACAAGAGACATTGACTATTCGATCTACAGCGAGGAGGACGACGAGGACGACGCGGTAGCACAGGGCTTATCGCGCGTCATTAACGCGATTGAACAAGGGTTCCCGCACGTGAATGCAGTGGTTGAACCCGAGTTCCTATCTGCACCTGTCAGGGCTGAGCAGGGGCTCCCACAAGGGCATTGTGACGATGATTAAGAGCTCGCCAAGAAGTGTGACGTGGAGGGACAGGAGTTCGACCGTCATGCGCTCGCGTGTGACCCCACGCGAGCGCATGATGGTCGACCGGGGTTATCATCATCACCCACTGTGGTCTAACCGAGGTTCCCACATGGGCATATTGTGGTTGAGCAAAGTCTCCCACACGGGTCTACGGCGGCCGAGCAGGAGGTCCCGCATAAAGTGCCGACGGTCGAGTTTGGGGTACTCCCGTCTAGTATCTCTGGAATTGTGGATGAGGAAAACCAGTACCTAAAAGGGGGTGATGGTTTATTCACTGACTGCGGTTCGCCAGCTTTGAGTAGTAACTCGAAGCACGATGGGAAAAACAGCACCGAAAATTAGCGTTGGAATGTGTCCACGCTATCGTGTCGTGGAAGGGAGTCCACAAATACGCCGTTAAATTGACGTCGAGATTCCTCCTCGTGATGCGTCTTTCATTACAAGCCTTCCAGGGCTGATGACTTTCCAAAGCTTCGCTAGGAACATTGCGCGTTGCGCCTAAGGTTTTGATCTCCAATCGATCCATGGCTCATGGCGTTCCAGCCAGGCCATACCGAGAATGAGATCATATCTCGAGTCCAAATCTAGAACAAGACAGCGTTCAACGCTATTGACGTCTATAAACTTCATACCCAAGTTCAACGGAGCTTTAGGAACGGTGACACGTACACCTGTTGCGAGACGCACGGTTATACTGTCACCCTCTTGCGCTTCTATCGACTCAGCATATAGATAATTTCTTTTAAGGTAACGGTGTCTGACATAATTCCCGAAGCCCCTGAGTCAATTAAAATTGACCATGGCTTCTCAAAGCCTCTAATGGTTGCCTACACAAACAACAAGCCTGGCTTGTAATCTTGTTCTATGGAAGTATCCACAGAACCACCTGGGGCTAAGCCCTGTTTACCTTTACCTCCTAAAGATTCAACAGAACTTAGTTCTTTCCCAGTAGGGAGCCCCGCGCCTACTGGGAGCTGACGTTTTCTCCTGCGGTGCTCGCCTTTTGGCTAGGAGCAGGGTTTCGGCTCTGCCGATTTGAACGTTGCTTTCGCAACGGAAAGCTAGGGCGGAGATGCCTAGTTCTTCCGCACATGTAACATCTACGAATGTTAACCTTGCTGCTCAGCAGCTTGAAGCTCAGCTTCTTCAGCATGGCTGAGGTCCATGGGTTCCGCCCTGTTAGAGGTATTTGATTGATACCAGGGTAGACCATATCGAGCAGATTTAAAGTTAAATTCAGCGTTAAACGCTATGCTTACTGCCTCTTCGAAAGTCGAAGGATGGACACGGAAAACTTCCGTCCTGGCGACCCCAGTGCGAAGTCCTTCCATAAAAATGGTTACTCGGACTTCCTCTGCCAGAGGATCCTGCTGCATAGCAGCAATGAGAGTTCTTAACTCTTGGACATAGTCCGAAAATTCTTTCTTACCCTGTCGGGTAGCTAAGAAGCGTGAGCGCACACGATAAGCCTGATTAGGCGGTGCAAACACACAAGTTAGTTGCTTTTTAAGCATTTCCCAGGTGGGGAATGCAGCATTTACAGAGACATCGCTCGTTAGAGCCCACTCTCTAGCTCTCCCACCGAGCTTCGAAAATGGCTAAGCCAACTCGTTGCTTATCTGATACAAGCATGGCGGCATCCATTGCCATTTCAACTTCTCGGATCCAGAGGAGAATATTTTCTCCCTCCTTCCCCTCAAAGGTCTTTACGTTTTAAGCGAGTGGGCGAGACTTTGGCTCTGTATCAAGCACAGGTACCGAGATGTACTGTGTAGGCGCAGCTGACGCTGCCTGATCATGGACCTGCCCGAGTAGCGTTGCTTCATAACGCATAAAGGCCTCAAGACGAGCATTTAAACCCTCCGTGCCCTGGGACAAAAGGGCCTCGATTTGATCGGGCCCGACGAACGCAGATAATCTATCTAGTGCGATTCGTTGCGCCTCAGAGAGGTGATTTTGATTCTCCATCCTCACAGAGGGTCAGTCTTTAAAGACTCAGGTGTAGGATTGACTACAAGTGCTATCAAGTGTAGCGGAACTACACAGCTCTTTTAGCCAGAGGAAAACTTTAGACTGGAAGTATCTTAGTTCTATAGAACTAAATAGAGTTAAGGCTAAAAGCCTCTTAGTTCTATAGAACTAAATAGAGTTAAGGCTAAAAGCCTCTTAGTTCTAAGGAACTAATTAAACGACTTAAAGTCTTCCTGTTCTAAGGAACGAGGAAATAGACTTTTAGTATACAAGCAATAAGCTTAAGGTTCAGAGAACCAACGCACAGAGTGCAAGAACAAGCTAGAAGCTTAAAGGTTCAGAGAACCAACGCACGAAGTGCACAAGAGAACAAGTCAGAACGACTTGCGATCTTAAACTCAAAATGAGAACTGATTATATTTATGCTTTAAGATTTTATGAATAGTCTTACTTTAAGTACACTACACTAGATTAATTACTATAACAGTAGGTATAACATACAGACTTTGCTATTGGACGACGTATCGTCTAAACATCAGTGTATCATGTACTTAGTACAACGATATCGATTATCGAATCCTAATCGATAGGATACGGTATTACCGAATACCGTATCTTTAACGCCATACTTTATACCTATCTAAAGAGAAGTATTAAAAATACTTACATGGAATATTAAAAACTTCATTCGTAAACATTTGGTATAGTGTTCCAACCGTCGTGAAACCCCGTTGCACTATAAGTAGACTCAGGTGGTCTAGTCAGGGGTGGCAGACATAGGTGTAAATGTATTCGGTTTAGGCAAGTTTAGAAGAACTACATTTTATTCAATCGGCGCCAAAAGTAGTTTTTGATCAAGTGACAGATCATCAAATTTGACCAAAAATATTCTTACAAGATTATTGGTTCAATTTATAGTGTTACCTAACGCCAAATTTAATGGATTACTACCAGATATTACCGTCCTGGTCCAGGACTCCTGGAGAAGCTTCTTAACCCGGAAGGAAACAGCGCTACCAGTAGATCGAAGAGAAATCGTGCCTTGTTTGCTTTCTAGTCGGTCTTTACGGATGTCGTAGGAACCCTTCAATCAGAAGTGTGATACTTGCAAACACTGTAAGACTATTGTTTCGATTTTACAAGATGTAGACAGAATCTCACTTTCATACATCATGTTCTCACTAAACATCTTCGCAGAGGCCAACTGTTTTAACAGAATGAAATGCGTCAGAGAAAACCGTCCTATGCACGCACAAGGTTAATGAGAATAAGCAAATGAAGTTTACGATCTTCCGTCATGGCTGTTTGATCGATGGAAGAGCCACTGTACTCAATCTTTTGGTCTTGTCTGTCATTAAATGTAATGAAAGCCAAATAGTAAGTCAACGTGCGCAATCTAGGTTTAGTCTAGGTTTGGCTTAGATCTTATTTAAACCAGAATGAAACCTAAATTAAACCTAGATCGCAGAATCCAAAAAATCTATTTTTTACTTTCACAAATGTCTAAGTTTTGCCACCCCTATAGCGCCCGTCTATTCCGCCTATCACCATCGAAAGGTTCCATGTGCCGATCTCATCGCCTCGTCCCATCTGTCAAGTTGTCACACCATTAGCCCATCAAGTGAGGTCGCATCTTACCTGTAACAGGTGTTGCACTGCCTCCTCAAAACCTTGCAGACCTGTCAAAATAGGAGAGCTTCTAGCATCGCTTCGCAATAAACTCCTATGGAGATCTAGAGAACACCAAGATTGTTAAAATCATCGAAAAGATGAAGAATTTGTAGAGCACCAAACATTAGCAAGATAAGTTGGTCTCAGTCACTGGAAGAAGTATGTCAAGTCGAGAACCCCCACGTCCTAGAGCAAAAGTTTTTGAAGCTACAACACAAAGCTGCTGCAATTAGTAATGGTAAGTCCAATACATGGCTCGCTGGCCGTAACATTGTCGGAATCGCCAACCTGACCATCGAGGCAATGTGCATCATGTCGACATATTCAAACGACTTCAATGCTGGAGCTGTGCTAGTTAAAATGGTTGCCATGGACCGAGGTGGTGATATGATTTGAGCCATCGCCGCTGCAAAGTGCAAGATAGCGGCGCTTGCAAAATGGTAGCGAAATATCGGACATGCTAGAACACAACTGTATGAAGACCGTCTACGACATCGTAGAAAGCAGGAGATCAAGTCAAAATCGACGCATGCTACAACAGGACAGTGCCCGAAGATCAAGCCAGAAACCAGGACACAGCAACGATGCCTGGGACCGTACGCCATACACAGCCATGCAGATGCTATTGTGATCGGGATTGTCCTGTTGTGCACGCAAAAAAAATGACTAAGCGTAGGATAAGCTACTGTCGCAGCTGTCGATCTACTCCTTGTGGTTTAAAAGGTGCTACCTCGACTGAATAGTATTTATTAAAGCAGATGACACTGAGCATCAGAGACAACTCTGGATAGGCTGCATGGTCATCATCACCTTTCCCTGTTCCAATCGAATCGGTGAATCTCACTAAGCGGTTATGTTACTAGAAGCAGTGGCGTTGTCTGCACCGACAGCTGTGCGACGGCATCGACGCATCGTTCGCAACAATTGATTGCCATGAAATGGTCGTATCGTCGTGTCCCAGATAGAGCGCTTGTGCCTATGCTCTTGTTCCGAATACGCCACTTGGGAAAATAGCAGCTATAGCGCAGAGGTAGAAACTAGTCTTCTTGATGAGACATCAACGGTTCCTAGTATGGGCTATCGCCGCTGCTGGGCTCATGATGCTCGATTTAGTTATTGCCAAGAATTCAAGTGCTTCTGGCACGACGTTTGAAACGAAATCGGGTATTGGAACTTGGGTTGACCCTGATACGCCAAAGGATCGGCATGTATACACTAGCTCGCGTGGCCGACGATGGGACCTTGTCATGAGTGACGAGTTCAATGTGCCTAACCGTCGCTTCAAACCCGGTGACGACCATATGTGGACTTCAGTCGAGAAACCTGACGGTGTCAATGGTGCTCTGCAACTTTACTCGCATAATATGACGGGTACAAGGTGTGACGACGACGGCACATGTTATTTCTTCATCAAAGTGAAGGATGAATTGAACGTCATTCACGTCTACAACATGTACAAGCATCCACCAGGATTTGTTGATGTTCCTTTCTACTACCGTGCGGGAATGGTGCAGTCGTGGAACAAGTTTTGTTATCAAGGTGGTATGCTTGAAGTACGAGCACAATTGCCAGGAGCAGTGACAAAGGAGTCTGGAAACCCAGATCTTGCAAAAGGGAATAGTGCCAAAGCCACATCAAAAAAATACTACCCAACGTGGCCTGGTATTTGGATGCTTGGAAATCTCGGACGAGCCATCTTCTCCGCTTCCACAAATCGGATGTGGCCATTTTCGTACGATGCATGTGAGCCCGATGTGTTTAATCCAAAATTCCAGCGCATTAGTGCTTGCAATGATAATCCTGGATATGGTCTGAACCCCAATCAAGGTCGAGGTGCTCCTGAAATTGACATTCTTGAAGGCTCGGCTGACTTGGTTTCGTCGTCGATTCAACTTGGTCCAGGAATGCCGGATGAATACCGTAAAATGGGTATCGATGCATCCCAAGATCATTTCTCGTGTATCTTCACTTCGATCTGTAACACGAAAGGCGGAAACTTTGTGGGTGTACCAACTGCGATCTATAAGGCCCGTGGCTACAAGACGTGGTATCAAGGTCTTCGCTACGCTGCCAATAATTTTTGTGCACCTGATCCCAAGAAGAAGCAGGACTACGAGACGATCGCTGCATCGCTAAAGGCTGGCATTACCGCGAATATTTGCTCACTCGACACTTGTCCTGCTTCGAACGATACATACGGAGACTTGGGTCCAATTGACGGTAAAGGGAAAACACGCTGGGGTATCAACTACAATGGCACTTGTTACTCATCGTGGAACGTCTACACCGGCACGTACCTCTGTGATCCCGACAATACGTATTCGAAATGCGCGAAGCCGCGAGACAAGGATACACCGAAGTCCAATGCGATGAGCTCGTTTAACTACCAGATGGACGCTATATCTGCTAATTGGCAAACGCATGTCGGTCTATATACCGACTTTGTCGTTTATCAGCTCGAGTGGGTGACAGGCAAGAACGGGTACGCTCGATGGATGCTACACGGCAATCCGTTGTATGAGATTCCATCCAAGTCCATTGTAGACGTCCCTCAAAATTCCAAGAAGACGAATCCGCAAAAGATAATGGTGGAAGAACCGTTGTACATTATTTTCAATGTGGCGTTAGCAAGCACTTGGGGTGCGGCTCCTCCAAATCCAACCGGGGAATGTCGCGGCGATGGTACTGTCGAAGAAGATAACAAAATCTGCGACTCTTTTCCGATGTATCTTAAAGTGGACTACATGCGACTGTACCAAGACCTTGGAGACGATCTTGACGCTGACAACTACATGCAAGTTGGTTGCGATCCAGCCAGCCATCCGACGAAGAAATGGATTGAGGGGCATCTTGACGAATACGAGGATGACGAGAATCTTTGGAAAGAAGTGGCTGGCAAAGCCGCATGCGAGCACAACGATGACTGTACGGTCGGTGGAAGCGCTGGAAAAAAAACGTTGAAGACAGGCAAGTGTGTGAAGAAGCGATGTGAGTGCATGTACCCGTCGTCTTGGGGTGGTCCTCGCTGTACAACAGCTGTTTCAGTTTCTAAGTCGTCGTCCCGTGTGATGAACAAAGATTCGTATGGCCCTCCAATGGGACTATCGATCGGTGTAGCAGGAGTGGTCGTGCTCTTGTCTTTCATCTCCGTCTACATGTCCATGTTCACGGTTGCTAAGACGAAAGCACTGACTGATATGAAAAAGCCGGCAGGCTACGACAACAGCGAGGACGGTTCTGCGTTGAAGGCTTCTAACGGCAGCGACCAAGGGCAACAACGTCAACCACGAGACAACTACAGTCAGAATTTTGTATAACTCGGCACAAATATACCTGCATGTATTAACGAAGAAGGAATGCAGTAAATGTTGTTTATCCTACAAAATAATCTAGCGGCAGTTGTCCTTTGACATCACTGCAAGAAATGTGAGCTGCAAAACACAGCAAGCATTTGGAGAGGCAGAAGCATTAACGATACGCTTTTGCCTCCAATGCATCCGTTTCGGCCCTTAATCTTTTTTAGTTGCGTGACCGACCCCAAGTACATCGACATCATTGCACTAGCTAGACAAACGCCCATGGAAAAAGAACAACAATCTTGCTCATTAGCCAGCGTCCGACACATTTGACCCCAAAGTATGTTGTCAAACTTGAACGGCCCTAACACTAGACAAAATATTCGTCAAGGTCTTAGCCGCACAGCCCAGACTTTCAAATTCAGCTTGATAGCACTCATTGCCTCATCTCCTGCCAATTTTCACAACTGTCGTAGCGGGGCTATCGCTATGACACGTCCGAGTAACACACATCTCATGCCCACCCTTTTGCAAGAAATTGCCGTCCTGGCCGATCTTGTATCATCTGCAATGCCCCCTGACGGCGTCCCGCATGCATTTCAAGTCGACCCGTTCATCACGTCGCCCACAAAACCCACGACCACCATAACCACCGCGATGAGAATTTCTTGCAACGCTAACACTGCTGTTGCAATTGCTACTGCCACCAATGCTTTCTCACCAAGCTTGCCGTCTCCTGATGCTCATCATTAATACTGTGACGATTGAGGAGGAAACACTCACCTGCGCAGTGATAAGTGTGACAGATACAAAAATGCTTTGTGAAGGCATCGGCATATCGGCTGCACTTGATGCTCATGCACACGTCTTCTGCATGGCCCATATAGATGTCCACCAACATGTTAACCACACTCGAGAGTGCTATGTAATTGAAAGTGGTAGTTTCCACTGCTTATAGAGCAGTGACTTTCCACCACATCTTCTAGGGCTGACATCAAAATTTGAACGAAGCTTTCAATACGTAGGTACGTTGATATTGACGGTACTGAGCCAATTATCTAAACAAAGTTCGGAGACTGCCCGTCCTTCGACATCATGGCAAGTTGTGAGCCACGATTACCGATTTCCCTAGTCGAAGCGGTTCCACTAGCAGCCTTTCGCTTTGCACCCACAGCAGCCATCGCCATCTTCGACTCTTTGGCTGACTTGACAATAACCATGTAGGAGGATATCGCCAATAAAAGACAAATCACGACAGCAACAGCACAAGCAGCCCCTAATGGAGGACCGTATGTACTCTTCATCAGTCCCCCGGATAAAGTAGTCGATCCTGAAATGGCAGTGGTGCAGCGAGGACCACCCCATGAATTGTGCAAACACTCACAACGCTTCTTGACGCACTTGCCCGTCATTAATGCAGTTTTTCCAAAAGTGACACCGATCGTGCAATCATCGCTCGTCTCACAGAACGCCTTGCCTGAGACCTCTACAATCTTGTTATTACTGTCTTCGTATTCATCAATGTGTCCCTCGATCCACTTCTTGGTTGGGTGGCTTTTAGGGTCACAACCAACTTGCATGTAGTTGTCAGCGTCAAGATCGTCTGCGAGGTCTTGATACAGTCGCACATAGTCCACTTTCATATGCATTGGAAAAGAGTCGCAGATCCTGTTAATTTCTTCAACAGTACCATTGCCTCGACAATCGATGCCTGGATTCGGAGGAGCCGCACCCCATACTTGCGACAACGCCACGTTCATAATTATGTACAGCGGTTCTTCCACCATTATCTTTTGCGGATTCGTCTTCTTGGAATTCTGAGGGACGTTCAAAATGGACTCGGATGGAATCTCATACAACGGAGCACCATGCAGCATCCATCGAGTATATCCATTCTTGCCTGTCACCCACTCGACCTGATAAACGACAAATTCGGTATAAACACCGACATGTGTTTGCCAATTAGTAGAGACAGCATCCATTTGGTAGTGGAATGGGGCCATTACATTAGACTTTGTCGCATTCTCGGGCCGCGCATTCGGACACTTATAGAACGTGTTGTCGGGATCACAGAGGTACGTACCAGTGTAGACGTTCCACTTCGAGTAACAAGTGCCATTGTAATTTATACCCCAGCGAGTAGTCCCTTTACCGTCAATTGGACCCAAGTCTCCGTATGTATCGTTCGAAGCAGGACAGACGTCGACGGAGCAAACATTCGCGGTAATGCCATCCTTCAGCGATGCAGCGATCGCCTCGTAGTCCTGTTTCTGTTTGGGATCAGGTGCACAAAAATTATTGGCAGCGTAGCGAAGACCTTGATACCACGTCTTGTAGCCGCGAGCGTTATAAACCGCGGTTGGTACACCCACAAAGTTTCCACCTGGTGTCTGGCAGACCGACGTATAAATACACGAGAAATGATCTCGGGACTTATCAAGACCCATGAGACGGTATTCATCCGGCATTCCTGGACCAAGTTGAATCGACGACGAAATCAAATCCGCTGAGCCTTCAAGAACGTCAATTTCAGGAGCACCTCGACCTTGATTGGGATTCAAACCGTATCCAGGATTATCATTGCAAGCACTAATGCGCTGAAATGTCGGATCAAACAAGTCAGGCTCACATGCATCGTACGAAAAAGGCCACATCCGATTTGTGGAGGCGGAGAAGATGGCTCGTCCGAGATTTCCAAGCATCCAAATACCAGGCCACGTTGGGTAGTATTTGCGTGCAGTGACCTTGCCACTATTCCCCTTTGCAAGATCTGGGTTTCCAGATTCCTTTGTCACTGCTCCTGGCAATTGTACTCGTACTTCAAGCATACCACCTTGATAACAAAACTTGTTCCACGACTGCACCATTCCCGCACGGTAGTAGAAAGGAACATCAACATACCCTGGTGGATGCTTGTACATGTTGTACACATGAATGACGCTCTCTTCGTTCACCGTTTCAATATTAAAGTAACATGTGCCATCCTTGTCACACTTTGTAGACGTCATATTATGCGAGTAAAGTTGCAGAGCGCCATTGACACCGTCAGGTTTCTCGACTGAAGTCCACATATGGTCGTCACCGGGTTTAAAACGACGGTTAGGCATGTTGAACTCGTCACTCATGACAAGGTCCCATCGTCGGCCACGTGATGTGGTGTAGACATGCCGATCCTTTGGTGTATCAGGGTCAACCCAAGTTCGAATGCCTGATTGAGTGACGTACGTTTTTAAGTCGGTGGCCACGACAATGATTGACGAAGTTGCAAACCACAAAGCCAATGTCCATGCTAAGGTATAACGAATGATCGCCATTGAAAACTGAGCTTGAGGTAGCAAATTCAAGAATGATGGAATTCCCCATAAAAAAGAGCTAAGACCTCCTGGAAAAGCCAAGACGACGCGACATTTTTTCTTAGTTCCTTCATCTTCATGCGATTAGACTTCTAAACAGTATAGTCAAAAAGTACTGGTCTGCGAAATGTATATGGCGACGCTATCAAATCCGCATCTCCGGCTGGTGGAGTAAAGCATGGGCTTTACTAGCTAGTCCATGTCATCATTACCGTTCGTACGGGCACAGGATTTTCCGTGAAAAGAATTCACTGGCCATTCAGCTGATGCAAATCGTCATTGCTAACTCTGTCGAGCCACTCTAAGCAGAAGAAGCGTGACTTACAATCCTACGATCCAGCACATGTTTTCTCTTGGGAACAGTTATAGCAAGCAACCGTGCATTTTCAATAGACTTTTTCAGGAAAATGAATCTACTTGCCACGACATCTTACCTTCCTATATATACATAGTAAACAACCAAGCTGAGTAGGTTCATGATAAAATGCAAACGAGAATTCAAAGCTAGAACATTGCATTGCTGATCGCAAATCGCCTTATGAATCCTACCAGATGCTTCTAAATCAGTCGTAGAAAAGGATCATGCTAAGGGTTCACCATTATCGTGCTGACGTGACCGAGACTGGACTGACGCAATATAGCAGACCCCGAATTTTTATCGGACAGGAGTCGCTGGTGATTTTGGCAGCGTGCCTGTGGTCATGAGTCAATGATTTTTCAGCATCGCAATTACCATTTCAAAAAGGCCGTGCGTGCTCCGACTCGAGTGCAGTCGCTCATGTTGGGTCTACTATAATGCACATGCACATCCTGCCCTTCATCGGAATATGTAAGATAATTTCTTCAAGACGTGAATATAGCTTCAAAGTTCGTTTTTGTTGATAAGGTACACCGTATGTATGTATTTTATAGATGCATTCTTATCGGATATTGGTAATCGGGTGTGACTCAATTTCGTGGGAACATGAGGTAAGCGTATATGCAGTGCAGCTGTTAGCTGGTAGACTGATTGCTGCACCGCATATACGCTTACCTTATGGTGATCTTCTGGTAGTCAGTTGTTTGACTGATTACCACAGGATCACCAGGTAGTGATGAATATGTAGGTATGACAATGTTTCTTGTACGATGGAAACATATCGTAGAGATCAGGCTTTGATGTAACATGATTAGCATGAGAACTAAGGGCTTCTTCATATATATATATCACTTCGGGATTTGCCTTTAACTCAAGAGGGTAACTGTAACGGGCCAATAGTAACACGAGGTCGTTAAGTATATGATACGTAATGGGGAGGTACATTGTAGCGGAGCTACACAGCTCTTTTAGTCAGAGGAAGATTTTGAAGGCTGAAAGCCTCTTCGTTCTATAGAACTAGTTAAGGTTGATTGCTTCAAGCCACTTAGTTCTAAGGAACTGATTGAACGACTAAGAAGTCTACCCATCTTAAGGAACTAGGAGGGACTTCTAGTCTACAAGCGATAGCTTAAGGTTCAAAGAACCAACGCACAGAGGGCAAGAACAAGCATGTATGTATGTAAACGCGTTGCGCGAGCCGTTTGCCACCAAAGTGGCTCAATTTCCGCATGCGTCGGATTTTCTCTCACTCTCTACATTTCTCTCTACTCTCTCCAGGGTCGAGTAAGCGGCGCGCGCTATATGGGCCGCGCAGAAGGCCGTTTAGGCTGCACGATACTGTGCCACAGGCAAAGGAAGTACAGGTCTGGGGCCAGTCGACGGCTGTGTCGAGCGATAGGTTTCTTGAATTTCTTGGATGTCTATCTTGTCAACAGGTCGCACCCAGGGAGGGTCTCTTGTTGCTTGCACCGGGAACGAAGGATTACGCCTGCGTGCCTAAGCGGAGATGCCGCGAATTCGGGACTTCGAGCGTGGCGGCGTACATCGTGGCGGCTTGAATGGCGGCTGGGGATGAGAGTAGCAAGAGAGAGGTGTGTAGAGGGAGAGGTCCGTCGCAAACTTACGGATGTCGTAAAAGCATCCGTCCAAGGCCTGAGCTAGCATTAGGCTAGCTCAAGCTTTCCGGGAGGGCGTTACCCCAACTCGACCATGATACTCATCTGTAATACCCCTTTTTTATAGGATCGGTATTAAGAATGCATTATATGCAATATAGAAACTTCAACCGTAATGTATATTTGTTTAATGTTCCAATCGCCGCGTAACCCCATTACACTCTCCCCCACCAGACTGAAGCTCCCGTAGAATGTCATTTAACACCTTTTTCTCTCTGAGGTAGAGCTTTAGCGAACGTTAATTATGGTTGTTCACGGCACACATGACGCCTAGTCAAAGACTCGTCGGGATCTCCTTGGAGGAGATCTTGACGAAGCGGTTGATTACGAAAGTGACACCGTCTTCGTGGGACCTAATGTATCGGTCCCCTTTAGCCACACTTGAGTGTGAAGATGACACTAGTGCAGAACAAAATTCGTTTCCTGAACGTGGTGCTAAAGATGCGCTAACAGCGTTACGTGAACCGCCTGACGTATCGTCAATGGCGACGGTAACCAACCCGATCGATGAGCAACAACAACAAATATTGATTAAGAGAAAAGCGCAAAGCGTTTTACGAAGAATATGAGCAGTCCAGGGCCACCGTCAATATTAATTCATGACCATCTTTGTGGAACACTCCCTAAAGGATATATAAGTCCAGTCTGTATCAAGCTGGGACATTGGACCTGGGGCCACTTCGCCTGAGGATGTCGCTACGCGAACGGCTCTTCGACAGCGGTATCTGGAACCCCACAACCACCAGACAAAGTCAATACTTGTCACGCCTCACTAGGGACGCACGTCTCTCCCATTAAGGGTGTTCCCATCCTTTTATTCGCGGAAGAAACCGAGGATGAAGAAGACAAGGCTTTGAGCCGCTGGGCACAATATGTGCGACGCTCGAGCACCATGTGGGCTCTACGGGCAAGTGCCGACGTGGCAGATGTTCGCCTGGAACGGAAAATTTGTTATGACTACGCTAAATGGAAGGCCCGAGGCAAGTTGAAGTCACAACGAAAGCATGCTACGTAGCACTCAAGTGTTTCGGATGCTCCTGTAGTCGCGAGCTCACGACAGGCCGAGGCCATAAGCTTGCCCGCCCTCACCACTACGGGTGGGAAACGCCATCGCCAATAGGTTCGCCCTGCGCACGACGTTCAAAAATGTCCACGGCGTACGGTCAATCCTGCCGCAGGTGAACCTTAAATTCCCATGAGTTCCATGATTCGGGACATCCCCGCCACTTCAGCACATACTAGTTATGATCGTGGCGACGACGCTTCAGAAGAATCCGTTACACATGGAACTGAAGGTCCCCCTGCTCATCGAGCAATGCCGGCGGAGGCCGATGTATCGGCACAAGATCACCCTGAGCTACTTCGGGAGGTGAAATGTCTCCGTAAGACCGTGCAGTCAATGAATTCCCGCCACGAGTCGTTGGAGCAGAACCGGACCCGAGTGGAGGGGTAGCTTGACTCCTTGGTTCAGATGATACGTCCTGCGGCAGTGCCGATGAGCTCGACGCAAGTGCCTTAGCAATCACTTAGGACATATTCCGATATGGCTTGAGGATGCCAACGTAAAACACAAGGTGTGTACGCAATTTGCGCGTCAATTATAGCGTATACGCTAAGTCTTTCTTGGCCACGATCGTAAAGGGTCCAATGAAGCGCGGACACAAGCTTGTCTTAAAGATAGCAGACGCTATTTCAGTAGGTAGGTTCTTAGCATTTAGTAATACTTGGTCTTCGACCTCATAACATCAATACAACTTCTGCCTTTATCATCAGCATATTCCTTTTGTTTGTCTTGGCTATCAGCCATTGCGTCACGCACATGTCGTAATACATTCCACCGCGTCGCAAGACACGCACTCACTTGTTTCTTAACATTGAATGAGTTGACATCATCAAGACGATCGTCAACCTCTCCCTCACGAAGCCCGGAAACAGTCGGTGGTAGCGTTAACGGAACGCGTGGGTGTGTGAGGCCATTCACATAGAAAGGAGTGTAGCCGGTAGAGACGTTCACGGAGTTATTTAGTGCAAACTCAACTACAGAGCATAGAGCTCCAACGCTTAGGCATTTCAGCACAAACGCTGCGGAGGATATCTTCAACGACGCGATTCACGCGTTAGGTTAGACTATCTGTCTGCGAATGATCCGCTGTCGACATGTCCAATTGGGTGCCTAGCACTTGGAAGACGGGCTTTCAAAATTTACCCATGAAACGAGGATCACGGTCAGAAACAATTGCCACTAGCACACATTGTTGGCGAAACACTCGATCGATAAGCAGCTTCGCTGTACCTTCAACATCTATCGAGACTGGCACAGCCGCTAAGTGAGCCATCTTGCTTAAACGTTCAACAAAGACCACAATAATTGTATTGCCATGCGAATCTTTTGGTAGGCCAAACACAAAGTCCATACTAATGGACTCCCAGCACCCAGTGGGAATAGGCAAACTAGCCAGCAGCGCCGCCGAATGGGGCGAAGGTTTTACTCGTTGACATGTTTCACACGTACGCACATATGTGCTCACCCATTTATATAATTTTGGCCACCAATAACGTTGGCATACTGCCCCATAGGTCTTTTCACGACCCAAATGACCACCGATGGCGGTGTCATGTACCTCATAGAGGATACGATACTTCAGGTCCTCGTCATAGGAACCACAATACGCGGAGGATCCGCCACATCTGTACGATAGTACAACATCCCCTGGTCGATAGAATATCGATGGAGGCCC